TAAGCTTTTATTTTGGTTTTTGGGAGAAAAGAAGGATGAAGAACACATTATGGAAACAAAAACATTATGCTGCAGTCAGGGAATTCATGATCTAAAAGATAAGCTAGGTGAGCAAATAATAAGTCCAAAATAAAGCCAAGTTTATTTCCACTTAAAAATTATTCCTCAGGGGCTAGGGATTTAGCTCAGTGATAGAGCCTTACCTAGCATGTGTAAAACCCTGAGTTCAATCCCTAATACCATAAACAAACAAACAAAAAACAAAATGCAGGGCTTTCTACATGCTCAGAAAAACAGTATATGAGAGTCTTTACAGCTAAGCTGGAACTAAAACTAATATGCAAAAAATTGTGTTAATTAAATCAAAACACCTATAGTGTTGAAGAAGACATTGAGGTTAAATATTTATCTGTATATTTTGAATATTATTTTTATAAAATTTATAAAATTAATATTTCTAAATAAATTCTTTTGCATATATAAATTTTCTGTTCATCTGAAAATATTTCAGTATATATCTCTTTTTTCCCCTGGTATATATCTCTGAAAGGATAAATGTATAATGACATTTATCCACCATTATAGTATCATACACAGCATTTTCATTCCCTAAAAATCTGTGTTTACCTATTTATCCCTCCCTCCCCTCTAATCTACCTGATGACCATTGATCTTTTTACTGTCTCCATTGTTTTTCCTCTTCCACAATGTTATATAGTTGGAATTATACAGTATATAACCTTTTTTTTCAATTGGTTTCTTAGTAATATACATTTAAGGTTCCTCTACGTCTTTTTATGGCTTAATGGTTCATTTTCTTTTAGTACTGATTAATATTCCATTATTTAGATATACCATAGTTTATTTATCTATTCACCTATTGAAGGGACATCTCAGTTACTTCTAAGTTTTCACAATTATGAATAAAAACTGTGTTCAGGTGTTTGTGTAGACATAGGTTTTTTATTATTTTGAGTAAATACCAAGCAGCACAATTGCTAAATCATATAGTAAGAATATCTTTAGTTTTGTAAGAGCATTTTGCTCTTCCATCAGCAATAAATGAGAGTTCTTATTGTTTTACATTCTCTTCAGCATTTGGCATCCTGGATTTTGGCCATCCTAATAAGTGTGTAGATAATTTTTGTGTGTGTGTGGTGCTGGAGATCAAACCCAGGTCTTCTGCATGCTAGGCAAGTGTTCTACCACTGAACCACATCCCCAGCCCTATGTAGATAATTTTTTAGAAAGCTTTTAGTTAGTTGTTTGAATCAGGATCCAAATAAAGCCTACACATAGCAATTGATTCATTGCTTCTTTTAATTGTTTCTTTTAAAACTGATTCCTTTTAGTAGAGAATGCTATTTTAAGAGACTGCAGTCTAAGCCAGGCATGGTGACTCATACCTATAATGCCTCATAAAACTGAGGCGGGAGGATCTCAAGTTCAAGTCCAGCCTGGACAATTCAGTGAGAACCTATCTCATAATTTAAAAAATTTAAAAAGAACTGGGATATTGCTCAGTGGTAGAGTGCTTCTGGGTTCAATTTGAAAAAATAGATATATAATTTAGGTACTAACGATACTCATTCCTACTGGTTGATTGGTTGTGTTCCTATAGTGTTGTTTTCCATGGAACTCTGTTTTATAGTATTTTCAGTAAGTTGATATTTGAATTTAGAGGATTAATCAGATTCACGGACAATAACTTAAGATTACATCATGGATTTTCTCTCTTGAGACATTAGCAGCCATTGAAAAATCTATGTAGGTCATTAGAGATTGCAAAATGGTGATGTTATATCAATATATCTATATCTATATCTATCTATATATATATTTTAAATCATTCCTTTTTCACTTATTGACTTTTGCCATCTATGATATGGTATAATTTATGTAGAAAATCCCAGATAAATGATCCTTTTGTGTGCACACATGTGCAGGGGTTAAACCTATGGCTTTGCATGAGCTAGGCAAATGCTCTACTGCTGAGCTATATCCTGAGCCCTTTGTTTAATTTTTAAAGTGACATTATAAACTCATGGATCTTAACATATTTGATATATACAATCTGTGGCTATTGATGTTCAATTTTTAAAAACATATTTTTAGTTGTAGTTGGACACAATACCTTTATTTTACTTATTTATTTTTATGTGGTGCTGAGGATCGAACCCAGCACCATGGTTGGCTAGCATTCTACCGCTGAGCCAAAACCCCAGCCCCTTGATGTTCAATTTTTCCAGTATTTGACAAGGGTTCTCTTTAGATTGGCTTCACAGCTCTTTTGACATGACCCCAGGTGGTCTTTGAGTGCTTTTTAAAACTATTTATTATGACAAGATGTTTTAGACCATCTAAAGTCATTTCCTGACTCAGAACTGTGACCAGCCATTTATCCAAGGAGCTCTGATTCCTTTTAGTAGAAAATTGTATTTTAAGAGACCACAGTCCAAGTGCTAATGATACTCATTACTAGTTCATCATATGTGCTAGACTTTTTGAAGGGATAGAGCTAAAAAGAAATAAACTTATTAACTTAAAAACATTTAAGAATAACCAGGCATGGTAGCCAATGCCTGTAAGTAATCCCAGTGTCTTAGGAGGCTAAAGCAGGAGGATTGCAAGTTTGAGGCCAGCCTGGGCAACTTAGTGAGACCCTGTCTCAAATAAATGATAAAAATCCCTATACTGAAAAAAATTTTTTAAAAGACTGAAATGTACCTCAGCGGTAGATTGTTTGCCTAGCACATGAAAAGCCTTGGATTGAATCCCCCTTTTGGGGAACATGTACAAAGTAGTAACATTGGAATAGTAATCTGGAAATTTGAACAAGATCTGGAAGAAAGGTGAGGACTAGTGTGCTAAAAATTTTAGAGTAAGGGCATATTAGATAACCAGATCTCATACAGTTTGAGCAAAGGTATGAAGGTGGGAATATGCACAGTGCTCTTGGGATCAGTCAGCCTGGCCAAATCACAGATTTGAGAAGGAAAATAGATTGGTTGCCATATCAGTTAAGAGTTTTTTGGAAGCAATTCAGGATTTAATAAGGTAGGTGCTATTTTATTTTTTTAACAAAGATTTACTGAACACCTACTATGTGAAAAAGCTGTGTTACATGCTGGAATAAAATGTTGAGGAAGATAGTTCCTCCCTATAGGAGCAAAAAGAAACATTTCATTACTAAAGAGAATTGTGGTATACTATGAGGACATATAGATGGGGGACTTAACTTAGTTTAGAATTGGGGATAAGTTAGGGACATCTTCCAAGGAAGTGCATATATGATGAGATCTAATAGATGATGACTATGTATTAGCTGCCCATGGTGGGTTGGGAACAACAGGGAGAGAATGGTAGGAATGGTAATTCCAGGCAGAGAAAATAGCCCTCAGGGAAGAAGGTGGGTGTGATTCCAGCACCCCCCAAAAAAACTCTTTCTATGATCTAAAGGACTAAAGAGTGTAGGGTAGAATGAATGAGAAATGAGAGAAAATTTGAGAAAAATTGCAAATAGGGACTTGATAATAAAAGGGAACTAATTCCCTGAAGGCATATGGTAGACATTAAATACATGTAGAATAGATGAATAAATAAGTTTGAAATTTCTAACAAGAACTAAGAAATGATGGTACCTGGGTAGGAATAAATACATCACGACAGGGTACTACTTTTGTGTTTTATCTTTTTTTAAAAAATTTTTATTTGTAATACTGGGGATTGAACCCAGTGCCTCGTGTATGCCAAACAAGTACTCTATCACTGAGCCATATCCCCATCCCAAGGGTACTACTTTTTAAAATTTTTTTTTTAGCTGTAGTTGGACACAATACCTTTATATTATTTATTTTTTTATGTGGTGCTAAGGATTGAACCCAGCACCTGGCACATGCTAGGCGAGCGCTCGACCGCTGAGCCACAACCCCAGCTTCCCCAAGGATACTACTTTTGAAAGGAAGGTTTGTTTGCTTTTAGATACATAGATTTTGAATTGCAGCATCCCAGTGCCTCATCAAGTCCTGAGCAACACAATTTAAGGCTGTGGTTGAAATTGTAAAACTCAAGGAAGAGAAACAAAGAGAAAAGAACTCTTCCTTGGAGCATAAGATGGTGACATATGCCTGTAATCCCATCATCTTGGGAAATGGAGGCAGGATGATTGAAAGTTTGGGGCCAGTTTGGGCAACTTAGCAAGACCCTGTCTCAACATTTAAAAAATAAATAAATAAAAGAGCTGGGAGTATATAGCTCAGTGGCAGAGCACACCTAGGTTCAATCCTCAGTATGGTCAATAAAAAGGAGGGGCTGGGATTGTGGCTCAGAGGTAGAGCACTTACCTAGCATGTGTGAGGCCCTGGGTTGAATCCTCAGCACCACATGAAAAATAAATAAATAAAATAAAAGGTATTGTGTCCAACTACAACTAAAAAATAAATATTTTTTTTTTTTAAAAAGGAGAGCTCTTCCTTGGAAATTAAGGTTAGAGGAAGAAGAAGATGAGCCTTTGCATGAGACAGAGAAAGCCTGATCAGGAGCAAGGAGGAGAATTTCAAGGACAGTGTAGCAAACATTCAAATGTTGCAGAAAGGTCAAGGAGACCAGTTTGCACCAAAAGAGACAATATACTTGACAGCATTTGCAAAATGCCAAATCATTATATAGATGCATAGGTGGAGTAGGGTGGTGGAAAAGACACGAGATCTGCAGTCACAAGACCTGGGCTCAGTTCTAGCTCTACCTTTTATCATATTCATGACCTTCAGTCAAAATTATTTAGTGTTCTCTGAGTCTCAGGATGCTTATTTATAAAATGAGAAAAAGAGTGGCTGCCATATTTGCATCTCAAAACTACTGTGAAGTTCAAATTTAAATATTTATGTAAACCACAAGCTCCCCACTCATAATCTCAAAAGGGTCTGGGCTCAAGATACTTTAGTGTTTGAATGAATATATGTGTAGTACTATGACTATTTTTTGTGTTTGTGTTTCAACAGAGACCAGATGAAGAAGCTGTTGTAGATCAGGGTGGGACCAGTACAGTTCTCAACATTCACTATGAGAAAGAAGAACTGGAAGGTAAGAGCTGCTGCTCTTGTTTAATAAGGGAAATTGGCAAGAGGCAGCCTGATGCAGGAAGAACAGACCTGGCTTTCCCTCAGGAGACCTAGGTTTGAGTACTAACTATTTCTCATGCTATAAGACCCTGAGGAAAAATCACTTAATTTATTTTAGCCTCAATGTACTCATCTGTTAAATAAAAGCATAGCTAATAATCCCATCCCATCTGGATAGGGATATCCTTAGGAGTTGACAGCATATGATACAGTGTCTTAAGTGCTGTAAGGTTCAATCTAAATACTAATAAATAATCTATTCCTTGAGAATGTGAAGTATTCAGTTCAGAGTTCAATTATTTGATTCTTGACAAATTCCTGGAAGTATGAGTACATAGAAATTTTTAAAAGAAAATAAAATACAAATAGTTTTTAAAACTCAATTTGGCTATAAAACCCTTTTTTTAAACCCCATTCACAATATTTGCTTTTCCTATTCTAACTATACCCATTTCTACTTGATGTTTCACCTAAACAAGAAAAGAGAAAACAGGAACATACCTGTGACATACTCTCTAGGAGTTCATAGCTCAAAGTTATATAAAAACCTCAGTTGAAAAACTCAACTGACGGGGCTGGGGTCGTGGTTCAGTGGTAGAGCGCTTGCCTAGCATGTGTGAGGCACTGGGTTTGATTCTCAGCACCACATAAAAATAAATAAAATAAAGGTCCATTGACAATAAAAAAATGTATAAAAAAATTAAACCCCAACTGACTCAGAAGGAAGAAAAAGGCACTTTTGCTGACTGGCTCTAATTTACCTTATTAGGACTCTTCTTCCTTTCTCTTCTGTCCTCTCCAGCTCCCCACACATGACCGTCGCGATGTCCTAATGCTTTTCTTTTTTCCATGGAGCCTAGTTGGAACTTTGGCAATCATACGCACATTTAGCCATGATTCCTGATACGTAATGTTCAGTTTTGTTTAGAAGAATCTGTTTTATGTATTCCATAAGTATAGCTTTCTTAAGAAGTCACATTTGGCCCAAAAGTCTTTGTGAAGTATCTGCAGCATCCCCTGCACAGCTGAAAGCTATGATACAGCAACTTTCTGATGCCTTAGACAGCATGTGAAATGTTCTCTCTGTACTGCTTGTTCCTATGATGGGGTTTTTCATCAAAGTTGTGCAACCCTCAGAGAAAGCTTGTCCTTTGGATGGGGAGATAATGAAGGCTGACTCAGCCATGAGAACTTATGTGGGCGGCTCTATGGTGGTCAGTGGTGTTCAGGTATATCAAGGTCAGGTTTTTCAAGTTATTTTGACCATACAGATGAAAAGCCATTGTAGGTTTCAGCAAATGAGAGAAAGTAGGAGAGATAGGGGAAGGGTGTGGAGCGAGAGACGACTATTTATCGAATGCCCTTTAATTTTAGGCATCAGATTAAGCACTTTATGCAAGTTGTCTTTTGCATTTTCTTAGTACTCTAGAACAGGTATCATTATCCAAATTTCACATCTGGGAAAACTGCACCAGGGTCATCTAGTTTAATATCATTGGATAGAGTCCTGCTTCTTTCATTTTGGCACATTGCCTGCAAGGGAGGACAGTATCCAGCATTAAAGATCCAATTTCAGTTTTACTCTATCAGGTAGGTATGTTAATGTTGTGCGTGCCTCTTCTTCTTTGCTGATAATCCTGTTCTCTACCTTCTTATTACACCTTGGGGGACATGTTGCTATTTGTTTAGTTGTCCTCTAGCAAAGGAGGTAAGCATTTATGAATACTTTTGTCTACTTGGGAATAGAATTATAGAATTATAAACCTGGCAGGCATTCAGATCCTGAGGACTAGGCTTCATCCACAGAAGTCAGCTAAGTAATTGGCAGCAGGAACAGCATCTCCAAATGACATCATCTGTTCCTTCTACAATGCTCTATTTTGCTGTAAAGAAGGCCGCATATGATGACAGTGTTTCTAGAGGGTAGTGTATTGGGAAATGGTCCTTTATGCATAGACCTTTCTGAAAGCTAGGATCTTTTCTACGTAAGCATTTTTTTTTAAAAAAGCACTACAGGCAAATAGAGGACAAATGGTACCCACTCCCTAGGCTTGATATGGTTTGAGAGCAGCTCTGAAGAAGAGAGGGAGTTGGGATTTGCTGTAGGATTGGCCATACTGTGGGGGCCACCCTTGGCTCACTACTGAGTGCATTCTTCAGATTCAGTAAGGCTGAACTCAGGGTGGTGGTGTCTCTTGAAGAGATGGAATAAAATCAGTCCTCATTTGATGGAAGACAGAAATAAATTGTGTTGTGACTCAATAAGGACAGAAGAATAAAATTGACATTATTATTGCTGTGGGTAAATACGTGACTGCATGATCAATGTAATTCTGCAACCACTACACTCAGAAAAATGAGAATTATATCCCATCTGATTCAAATGTATGATATGTCAAGATCATTGTACTATCATGTGTAACTAAGTAAAACAAATTAAAAAATAATAATATACATGCTATGATACAAAGTTCTGGCTGCAGAGAAAGTTACAGATCTTCCTGTCCCTTTATTCAACACCTGCTACCTACATGACATAAACCATTCCCTAACCCCATTTTCAGAACAATTTCTGTGGGTCTTCTTGCACCAACTAATTCTATCAGTAAGAGAATATATACTATATCATGATGTTGCCGTGTGTGTGTGTGTATAATATATACATGTATTATATACCATATATACACACATATATATACACACACACACATATATATATTCAAAAGCAAACATTAGAACAGAGTTTCAGAGATAAATGCAAGAAGAGAAATATTCCATGATGTGCTTTATAGTCCCAGGGGAAAACAGGGCAGTTGCTTTAGTTAGAGGAATGTTTTTTCCATTTTTTTTTGGCAGGTCATTATTTTTGATTAAATACTAGATTTATAAATCCTGGAACAAGTTTAATGACTTTGTAAGTTTTAGCAGATATAAGAGCCATTTGATCACAATTATTACTTTTTTAAAAAAGGCTTACATCTGTTCTACACATAGGTTACCCCCTGTGATTTTGAGTCAACCTCTTAACCCAGAGGAGCAGAACATCCTTTAGTATATGCTAATGGTTCTCTGTGAATGTGGGGTAAACAGTGTGAGTGTACTGCATTATATATTGGTCACATGGTAATACCTATGGTTTCTATCCTGCTCCACAAGATTCAGTGCCAGCTTAATAATGCTTGTACTATATATGTGGATATATACTTATTTTTAAAAAATACACACTAAAGTTACATCTTTCTCATAAGTTTTGCTTAATTGGAATACTTTTTTGCACACAGATAGCCACAATAGACTAGTTTTGATACTGAGTAGGAAAAAGAATGAGGAATTAGATGGGAAGAAATGGTTTTTTTGTAAGTTGGTAGGTAGATGAAAGGGAAAAGACTGTGGGTAGAAGAGTAATTGAATGACCAATGAAGTGGCCACAGGATTAGTTTGGTAAAGGACTGCCAGAATCCAGTTAGATGGACTGAACTTTATTGGTGCTATATTTCTTCCTAATAATGTATTTGTCATCTTTTCTGCTAAATTTCATCCAGAAAATACAAATTCCTACTTCAGAATCCCCAGCCTAGAAACTGATATCAAATTTTCCAACAACCATTTGGTCCTTCTTAGCTGTGACCCCTGTTGAGCTTGTTTTCATTTCTGCCCTTCTCTCTAAAGGTTTTTCTAGAGGTAGGCAGAAGGTCTTCCTTTCTCAAGATTTTTGTCTTACTTGCTCCAGAAACTTGCTCCCATTATACTCAGACTCACAGAGTGGGAATTTAGATATCAAGCAAAGCCATATATGAATTAGTCAGCAAACATTTACTGAGTGCCTTCTGTGATCCTTCTCTGAAGAGATAAGTAGAGATAGTTAGAACAATTGAACCATTGTGTTATCTCTAAAGAGTGATCTGGCCTGAACCTTTCCTAGAAATTGAATATTAGAATCTGGACTCACCATCATCTGGACAAGATGTAGGAAGTCAATAAGGAGATCTACTCTTTTTGTTTTTACTAATAGTTACAGTGAGCTAATTAACAAACAAAATGTGATCTAATAACATTGATTCTAATACCTAATCACTGCCTTCTCAATTTCTCTTTAGAATATAATTAACATTAAATAATACTAGCAACATTCCAGTGTAAGCCTAGTGGAAGTATTTGGAATGTGCTCAATGAGAAGTGGGGGTCATAGCCTGACTTTTGGGGGCATTTTGAGGAAAGAGGAAGCCCATGGTTGAGGTGGATGAAATGAAAGACTGAATTTCATCCCTCAGTGAGGTGGTTCTTTTCCCAAGTCCAGCTGTACCTACAGGAGCCAAACTTTTCAACACCAACATCACCAATTTAAGGGCCATTTGAAGTGGTTTTCTGGGATCTAATTATGTTTTTTGTGGCCTATGGATTTACAATTTGCTCCTGCCAGTCTTTCTGTCCTCTTTGAAATCCTTTCCTTCCTTTTTCTACCTTGCTCTGGCATTACTGGATGTCATTTTACCTTGGAACCAGCCCTGCACATTCTAGCTTAGGGCATGTGCACTTGATCTTCCCTTTCCCTAAAATAATCCTCTCCCAAGTTTTCTTTTGGCTTTACTATCTCATTATCATGACTTTCCCTCTAATCATCTTAGCTAAGGTCTTGCTTCTTGCCAGGCATTGTTGAACATGCCTGTTATCCCAGTTTCTCAGGAGGCTGAGGCAGGAGGATTGCAAGTTCAAGGCCAGCCTGGTTAACTTAGCAAGGCCCTAAGCAACTTAGTGAGACCCTATCTCAAAAAAAAAAAAAAAAAAAAAAAAAAAAGAACTGTGGATATAGCTTAGTGGTAAAGCTTCCTTTGGTTCAATCACTAATACCAATAATAAATAAATAAATAGTCTTTCTCCTCCATTCTACCCCCTATTACAGACACTTTGGCACTTTACCTTTGATTTTCAATTATTAATATTTGAAGTAACACCTTTTTATTTTTGTGATGTCTGTCTCCCTCAACTAGAAATACATCCTGAAGACTGTGCCATTCACAACTGTATCCCCTGCCTTTGGGACAGGATTAGATGACTCTAGTCTCCTGTTAATGTTACCTGGATTGATCTCAGTGGTGTACCATAAGGACTTCATTGGTATACTATAGTGGAATATTATTAATTAACAGATGATCTTCAACTTAATCATTTTCATATTTTATACCCTTTATATTTTATAATGTCAGAGGTCTAGAATCCCGATTCTTAGCAGCTGATCTCCTTTGGCTCTATATTTTTCTCTTTGTGGTACAGGGGTTGAATCCAGGGGTGCTCCATCGATGATCTATATCCCCAGCCTTTTTATTTGTTTATTTTGAGACAGGGTCTTACTAAGTTACTGAGGTTGGCCTTGAACTTGTGATTCTATTATCTTAAGCCTCCTGAGTAGCTGGTATTGCAGTTGTGTGCCAACATTCCTGACTCTCTTTTTCTCTTTCTATGAAGTTGTAAGATGGCCACATTATATTTAGAGATCTATCAGTCAAAAATGTGCTGAGATGTGTATGAGGCAACCTAAGACTATTCTTAGACTGGAGGAGGGTAAAGGTGCAGTTCTATCAGATGCTAAACATTTTATCCTCCTGCCTCTCCACAGTCTAACAAGTCTCTGACCATTTCTCATTTAGTTCTCATTGTTTCTGTTCAATTTTTCTTTATCACTTTGGAATTTAGAAAATAGGAAAGACAAAGAAAGGAGGGGGGAATAGACAAAGGGATATTAGAGCAGTACCCAAGACACTTTATCACCACTTGGAAGTGGGGCGTGCTAACAAGGAAGCTGAGTGCAGTTTTAGGAAATCCCAGTACTGGGGAAAAATGTATAGTTGGCAACTCTTCTCCTAAAGTCTGCCTTTCTGGGAAGTCTTCCTGATTAAGCTTTCCATTCTCAGGTTGCTAAGGATCTTCTCAATCCCCCATGCTCTGGTTAGTGCGTCATCTACCCTAAACACCCTTACTTTAGTTACAGGTTCCTTTTGTAGCATCTTTCAGATCAGAGACCCTCTTAGGTCAAATGGTATAGTCCTGAGGGAGTCCTAAGGGTTTATACTCCTAGGGGAGGCCCTTAGAAGACATTCCATTTGCTGAATGTTTGTGGAGCACTGACAATGTGTAAGACCCTGTGCTAGGGATTCTGAGAGTCTGTCCTAGGACCTTGAGGAGCTTGTAGATGAATAGTGAGGAGATAAGACACCTGCTAGACTTTAATGCAAGGCAGAAAATAAGTGTATAAGAAAAGTGCTAACCAAGGGATCTGAGTATTTAGAGAAAGGAGACAGCACATCTGATCAGGGAAATCAGAAATAATACTAAGAAGGAAGGTGCATTTGCAATGAATCTTGCATGAGAGAACCAACTCAGTGCCCAGAAAGCATTGGCACATTTGTAGAATAACAATTTGGTTCAGGTAGAGAAGAACTGTATGAGAAGGTAGTACATGGAGGATTTGCCTTTTATGTCTCTTGAGCTGATCTCTTGGAGGTCTTCTTTTTTCACATTGAATGTATAACTTATCCTAACAGAAGAAAATACTAGAAAGGAGGCTGAGGATTCATCATGAAGAATCGTGAATTCAAAAAGATGAGCTGTGATCAGAGATGTGACCAGGAGGATTAGTTTGTAAGGTTAAATTAGTATGAGAGGCAGGAAGGAGGCCCCCTGCTTTGTTAACTTCTATGGAACATGGAACAAGGAATTGGTGAGGAAAGAGTTAGGTCGGTGAGTTCTTGAAAATGGTTTGATGGAAAAGGAAGGAAAAGTGGAAATTTGGGAGAAGTACTGCATTAGGAAGTTTTCCTTTTAAGATCAGGGAGGGGAGGGGGGATAGGAAGGGGATAGGAAAAGCAGCAGAATACAACAGACACTAGTATGGCAGTATATATAAACGTGGATGTATAACCAGTGTGATCCTGCAATCTGTACACATGGTAAAAATAAAAATTCATACCCCACTTGAATCAAATGTATGAAATATGATATGTCAAGATCATTGTAATGTTTTGAGCAACCAAAAAAAAAAAAAAAGATCGTCAGAAACCTGTGGAAGGGATGGATAGAAAGGAGAGGCTGAGGATAGCTGAGGCACAGGGACTCCAGAGGGGTGGGCAGCAATGGGATTGAGAGCCTGACAAAGAGAAGAGCCAGACTGAGATGGAGAAAGTTCACATGAGAGGGCCTTGGTCTTCTGGGTAAAATATAAAGCAAAGTCACCTGATCAGACAGAGGGAATATGGATAAGGTTTCAGATTTGTAGAAATCAGGTAGAAATAAGGGGAAGACCAAGACTCTGTGTTTTGGGGGTGGGAGAAGCTCTGTAGCTAGTGATTCTGAGCTCCAGGTTTGGCAGGAAGGCTGATGAAGCCAGTAGGAGAATCAAAACAAAAAACAGGCTTATTGAAGGAATGAGGGAGTAGGGAGGAACTAGAGTGGAATGTTATTGGATCACTTATTTTCTCATGTTCCTCACTCTTTGTACAATATTTAATATTTCTCTTTAAACCCAGCATCATGCTCCTTATGATTTATAACTAGTCTTTTACTACTATTTTAGATTGTGTATTCTATAATTCAAGAAAAAAAATGCAAGCCTATCCTAGAATGTATTGGCTGATGTATTTTGATATTACATTAAGCATTTACATGCATTATCTTATTTACTACTTATGACAAGCTTATGAGTCTAAATAGTAAGCTTTTAGTATTTCTTCTAAAAGATGAATCACAGAGAGATTAGATAACTAGTTCAAGGTGACATGGCTAGCAAATAATGAAATGGAGTCTTGGATCCAGGCAGGCTCTTTTGAGCCTTAATTGTGCTCTTAAACACTTTTCTAAACTGCCTCCCTGCCAAGACTTGCCAGAATCATCATAAGCAAATTGTATTGCATTTTTAAAAGTTAGATTATCATTGTAATAATAATAACTTAAATCATATAGGCCTTTACAATTTGCAAGTCATATTCATGTGTCTTTTTTTACAGGGGTGGGGGAGTTCTAAGCATACACTCTACCACTGAGTTATATTATCAACCCCTAATGCACATTATTTCTTTTATCTTCCTAACATCCCTGTAAGGTTTGCAGCCACATGCAGGACAGAAGAAGACACCTTCATCTCTGAGATTGCTATATCTGTAGTCCTGGAAGTCTTTGAAATTTTTTTTTTTTTTTTTTTTATCAAAAACTGATTTTTTCTGTGTTCCTTTTGCTCTTAACTATGCTAGGCTCCTTTTACTAAAGGAGCTAATTCCACAGACCTTCTGCTTCTTTCCAGGTCACAGAACTCTGTATGTGGGGGTTCGGATGCCACTGGGCCGGCAGAGCCATCGGCACCACCGCACCCATGGCCAGAAGCACCGAAGACGAGGGCGGGGCAAAGGAGCCAGCCAGGGGGAGGAGGGCCTGGAAGCTCTAGCCCATGGTAACAACTTGGGGAGGGAGGGTGGGTATCCAGAAGGCTTGATGAGGCGAGGAGCATGTGAGGGACAGAAGTAGATGCACTTGATTCTCTAGACCTTTGGAACGGTTTTCAGAGCTTGCTTCCAAGTGGAAATCCTCTAAGAACCAAAAGTATCTTCATGAAAACTCAACAGTTTAGCAACTCCTCCCTAGTTTATACAATAACAGGTAAAATCCTTTGCTAGAGAGTTAACCATTCATTTTGATCAAATTTGTCATACTTTAGGGTTTTTATGGGATTTCTGTAAGTGGCCTTAGTTCATAAATTTTCCCTCTCATGAAACTACTTCCAGAGAATAGCTTTTTCTCTGAAAATAAAGGAAAATTTCTGATCTGTACTAGGGATCCTTTTCTATACATTCCTGAAGTTGTTAGATAAGGCAGAATGCTATTTTTGTTCTAGTTTTGAGGCTAGATGCAGACCTTTCTCTGTGATTGATTTCCTAGACACACCATCTCAGCGTGTTCAATTCATTCTTGGCACTGAGGAAGATGAGGAGCATGTACCTCATGAGCTATTCACAGAGCTGGATGAGATCTGTATGAAAGAGGGAGAAGATGCAGAGTGGAAGGAGACAGCCAGGTAAAGTCCTAAAATAACCTGGATCAAGATCTGCTTGGGCAGGCAAATGAGAATCCTGCTTGTCTTTTCTTTTTGGGAGAAGTGATAACTGACAATGAGGACTGATGTTCCAGAGTTTTCTATGAGGAATCTTAGTATTGGTCATTTTATGATGTCTCTGGTCATACCTGTTGCTTAGTGAACTTGAACATGGGATTGGTGACATACATATGTAACTTTCAGGGATTCCTCCATTTGTTTGATGGTCAGAGTAAGTTCATGGGCTCTCTTGATACTACAGGCCTTGTTTAGAAGATGCTGAACAGGGCCACCTTGGTTGTGACCTGGCTGAGCAGACAGCAAGCATAGGTTCAGACTTTTTCTGTGGGTAAACCATAGGGTCATTTGGGTTTTAATTCATTGACAGTCCCAGAATTTTTGAGACTTTAATTTCCTCTGGGACAATTTAATCTTACAGAGACCATTGAAATTATAACTAGCTCAATACTATATTTCCTGGAGTTGCTGTAGAGTGGTTCTGTTTGTCTGAGACTCAAGTCCCAGAAGAGTCCTCAGATTAACCAGGGTCATGTCTAGGCTCCTCTAGTAACTGGCCAGTGATCTTGACAGATGATACAAAGCCAACATGCCTGAACTTTGGGAGGCAAGGTGGGTAACTAGCAAAATGTAGCATCAGCTCTCATTGAAATAGCTGTTCCTGGATACCTGCTGTATCATGGACATTTTCTATGGATAGAGAGTGTTAAACAGGACAGTCAACCTGATATCAGGTGAAAAGGCAATTATTCTTCTGCCATTCTGTCTTTGTAGACTCCTAAAGGTCACATAGAACATAGAACTACTAAAGATCATACAGAACACTGATTAAAAAAAAATATTGATTTATTAATATGATTTGGCAGTTTTGTCCAAGAGATATAAACTAGATCTTTTTTTAATTGTTCAGGTAATGCATGCTTATTATAGAAAGAAAATAAAGATAAGCAAAAAGAAGAAAATGAAAATTATCTATAATCCCACTACCTTAGGAATAACAAAGAATATATTTGGTATCTTATACATGTATATAATTGTATTTTAAATTTTTCTTTAAATAAAAACAAAATTAAACTATGGTCAATATTGCACTGTTACATTGACAGTGAAAAAAAAATTGCTTTTTTCACCGAACAATGTATCCTAAACATATAGATCAGATTTTACAATGTTCAATATGACTATTCAGATGTTTTTCTCTCTTGAAAATTCTTCACTTTCTTTCTTTGGCATCTAGTTATTTGTAATGCTTTTAGGTGGCTGAAGTTTGAAGAAGATGTTGAGGATGGGGGAGAGCGCTGGAGCAAGCCTTATGTGGCAACCCTCTCATTGCACAGTCTCTTTGAGCTAAGGAGCTGCCTCATCAATGGAACTGTCCTTTTGGATATGCGTGCAAATAGCATAGAAGAAATTTCAGGTAAGGTTAGTGAAAAAGGAATGCTTGTGTATGCTTTAGAGGGAAGAATAGTGGTGGTGTGTCCTTAGGCAAGTCATAGCCTTCTTGACCTCCATGTACTCAGCAGGGGGAAGGGTTAGCTACTCTATTTCCCAGGCTTTTATGGGATTCAGATGACACAGCACTTAGTCTTACATTTGCTGGTTCATTTGACAAACATTTATTTTGTATATATTATACACTTCATAATGTGTGAGGCTAGGGTTATACAGGTAAGATTGTTTCTACCTTCAGGGAGCGCATCTTTTAGTCAGGTAGTGGCTATGGAATCAGCAATTAAAGTAAGTGCATCAACGAAGACATGCTTAAGAATAATTAGGTCAGTAGTAAATTGCCCCTGAGTTAAATGCTTAGTACCCTCCTCCAAAAGAATAATTAGAGAAAGAGGCAATGGGAGTTGTGCAGAGAAGAGGGAGTTAAAGAGAATCAAAGGTTTTAAAATATGGCATCTAGAAAAGATATGTAGGAAATCAAGCCATAGTATTCTCACATTTTCAGTAAGATGTGAAGGGGAGATCCATGTCTTATGGAGTTTTCCTGGTGTGATTGGATGTTAATTTACTATGTTTTGGTATCACAGTTGGAGAAACACCTAGGTATTCTCACCTATGGGGACTTTCCCCTCAAATGGGCTTTGTTTAGCAAGACAAGTTAAATAAAGATGTTTTCAAGCCTTTCTCCATTTCAAGAATCTAAGTAATTCTGCTTCTCTGCGGTCACATGGGACCCAAGTGAAGGGTCAGCTGTGATGGAATCCTGTGTCTCTCTCCTTTCAAAGGAGTGCCCCAGAAGTACCAATGATTGTGAAAAATGGAACTCTTGTGTTAACCACTGTGTTCACATCTACATTTTGTTCACTTTTGGTTAATGCCTGAAATACAATGATGGTCCCTTAAAAGGTTGCGTTTATCTTAGGTAGAAGAATCCCTGGGAATTATTGAAGTTATAACTCCATGTAAACAATGGGGATATATTGGAAATATTTTTGGCAGGGTAATGACCTATCAAGTTTTGCATATTAAAGAGATAATGCAATCTATGCTAAGCCTCAGGCTAGCATCATTCTGAATGGAGAAAAATTGAAGGCATTCCCTCTAAAATCTGGAACAAGACAGGGATGCCCTCTCTCACCACTTCTGTTCAACATAGTTCTCGAAATACTGGCCAGAGCAGTTAGACAGACGAAAGAAATTAAAGGCATAAAAATAGGAAAAGAAGAACTTAAATTATCACTATTTGCAGGTGACATGATTCTATACCTAGCAGACCCAAAAGGGTCTACAAAGAAACTATTAGAGCTAATAAATGAATTCAGCAAAGTGGCAGGATATAAAATCAACACGCATAAATCAAAGGCATTCCTGTATATCAGCGACAAATCCTCTGAAATGGAAATGAGGACAACCACTCCATTCACAATATCCTCAAAAAAAATAAAATACTTGGGAATCAACCCAACAAAAGAGGTGAAAGACTTATACAATGAAAACTACAGAACCCTAAAGAGAGAAATAGAAGAAGATCTTAGAAGATGGAAAAATATACCCTGTTCATGGATAGGCAGAACTAACATCATCAAAATGGCAATATTACCAAAAGTTCTCTATAGGTTTAATGCAATGCCAATCAAAATCCCAATGGCATTTCTTGTAGAAATAGAGAAAGCAATCACGAAATTCATATGGAAAAATAAAAGACCCAGAATAGCAAAAACAATGCTAAGCAGGAAGTGTGAATTAGGCGGTATAGCGATACCAGACTTCAAACTATACTACAGAGCAATAGTAACAAAAACAGCATGGTACTGGTACCAAAACAGGCGGGTGGACCAATGGTACAGAATAGAGGACACAGAAACCAATCCACAAAACTACAACTATCTTATATTTGATAAAGAGGCTAAAAGCATGCAATGGAGGAAGGATAGCATCTTCAACAAATGGTGCTGGGAAAACTGGAAATCCATATGCAACAAAATGAAACTGAATCCCTTTCTCTCGCCATGCACAAAAGTTAATTCAAAATGGATCAAGGAGCTTGATATCAAATCAGAGACACGCCGTCTGATAGAAGAAAAAGTTGGCTACGATCTACATACCGTGGGGTCGGGCTCCAAATTCCTCAATAGGACATCCATAGCACAAAAGTTAATAACTAGAATCAACAAATGGGACTTACTCAAACTAAAAAGTTTTTTCTCAGCAAAAGAAACAATAAGAGAGGTAAATAGGGAGCCTACATCCTGGGAACAAATCTTTACTCCTCACACTTAAGATAGAGCCCTAATATCCAGAGTATACAAAGAACTCAAAAAATTAGACAATAAGATAACAAATAACCCAATCAACAAATGGGCCAAGGACCTGAACAGACACTTCTCAGAGGAGGACATACAATCAATCAACAAGTACATGAAAAAATGCTCACCATCTCTAGCAGTCAGAGAAATGCAAATCAAAACCACCCTAAGATACAATCTCATTCCAGTAAGATTGGCAGCCATTATGAAGTCAAACAACAAGTGCTGGCAAGGTTGTGGGGAAAAGGGTACACTTGTACATTGCTGGTGGGACTGCAAATTGGTGCAGCCAATTTGGAAAGCAGTATGGAGATTTCCTGGAAAGCTGGGAATGGAACCACCATTTGACCCAGCTATTCCCCTTCTAGGTCTATTCCCTAAAGACCTAAAAAGAGCATGCTACAGGGACACTGCTACATCGATGTTCATAGCAGCACAATTCACAATAGCAAGACTGTGGAACCAACCTAGATGCCCTTCAATAGACAAATGGATAAAAAAATGTGGCATTTATACACAATGGAGTATTACTCTGCATTAAAAAATGACAAAATCATAGAATTTGCAGGGAAATGGATGGCATTAGAGCAGATTATGCTAAGTGAAGCTAGCCAATCCCTAAAAAACAAATGCCAAATGTCTTCTTTGATATAAGGAGAGTAACTAAGAACAGAGTAGGGACAAAGAGCATGAGAAGAAGATTAACATTAAACAGGGATGAGAGGTGGGAGGGAAAGGGAGAGAGAAGGGAAATTGCATGGAAATGGAAGGAGACCCTCAGGGTTATACAAAATTACATACAAGAAGAAGTGAGGGGAAAGGGAAAAATAATACAAGGGGGAGAAATGAATGACAGTAGAGGGGGTAGAGAGAGAAGAGGGGAGGGGAGGGGGGATAGTAGAGGATAGGAAAGGCAGCAGAATACAACAGACACTAGTATGGCAACATGTAAATCAATGGATGTGTAACTGATATGATTCTGCAATCTGTATATGGGGTAAAAATGGGAGTTCATAACCCACTTGAATCAAAGTGTGAAATATGATATATCAAGAACTATGTAATGTTTTGAACAACCAACAATAAAAAATTTAAAAAAAAAGAGATAATGATGACGGCAATATGGAAGGTGAATTGAAGGGAGAAATGCATTAGACTATTAGAGTAGTTCAGGTGAGACTACTACACTATGAGAAATGGTAGTAGGGGAGGAAAAGGAGTGAGACAATTTCTAGTGAAGCTGGGCATGTAGAACTGATGAAACCCATTTGACAGATTAGTTGAGTTCTGAAAGAAAGAGAGTTAAGGATTCTGACTTAGGTGGTTGGGTGACTAGAAAAGAAGCAGGTCTATTGGAAAAGAGAGTGGGTTTGATTTTGTACATATTGATTTCCAGAGGTGTGTGGAACATCTAGATGGAAATGTCTAGTGGGTAGTTGGAACTTCAATGTCATGCTTAGGCAAGAGATCTGAACTAGCATATAGTTTTAGGAGTGATAAGTTCATAGGCAGCTGGTGCTTAAAGTCTTAGAGGTGGTTGAGATTATTAAAGGAAAGGAAGATCAGAAACTGGGAACCTTCAATGGGTAGCATAGCGGGCTTGTGGATATTAGAAGAAAAAAGTTTAGCCAAGGAGTCAGAGAAGGAGTGCTCAGAGAAGTGGGAGAAGAATCAGATACTGGCCATAAAATTTGTATTAGTTTCCTAGGATGGCTGTAACAATTTCCACACAAACTTGGTAGATTAAAACAATAGACTTTATTCTTTCACAGTTCTGAATGCCAGAAGCCCAAAAATCAAGATATAGGAAAGGCCATACTCTCTCTGAAGGCTTTTGCAGGGAAATCTCACCTTGAGATCCTTAACTTCATTATATCTGAAAAGACCCTTTTAAAAAATCAAGTAACACTCATAGGTTTGAGTGGGGCAGTTGGGACAGAAATCTTTTGAGGGGTTACCTACCATTCAACCCATAACAAAAACTAAGAGAGGGGAGAGTTTTATATATCCATGTCAAATGCTTTAGAGAGGTCACCCCACCTGATGGCCTCAGTTTGAGTGTTCTTATGAATGCCTACTTTCTAGACCTGATACTGGACCAGCAAGAACTGTTCAGTGACCTAAACGATAGCATGAGGGTTAAAGTGCGGGAAGCCCTTCTCAAAAAGCATCATCATCAGAATGAAAAGAAGAGAAACAACCTTATTCCTATTGTTCGCTCTTTTGCTGAAGTTGGCAAGAAGCAGTCTGATCCACATTCAATGGATAAAAATGGTAAGGTTATTTTGAATGGTTGTTGTTTCTTTTATTAATAAGTAATGGGGAACTCGTTGGAGATGCTGAGTTACTGTACTTGTCAGTATGTTTCCATGCTCACTTAGACACGGTACTTCGGTGACTGGTGAGGTGAGTAGCTGGGACTGGTACTTGTCTCTCTTGCAGCACTTGATATGCTTGCTTTTGATAGATCTTAGTGGACTCAGGATAAAGGACTTATACCCCAGGGTGGTCTCATAACTGATGTAGCTTTGGGGCCATATAAATATTGGGAGTAATTTGGGGTCAGAGAAGGTAAACTGGAGCCTTTTAGGAGTAAACAAATATCTTAGACTGGGGAGGCAAAATATGATAGTGTAGACCCTTGAGTCAGACTTCTAGGCTTGTGTTTCTGGCTTTATCACTTGCAAAGCATATGACCTACTAAACTTCTTTCTTTCTCTCTGGTAAAATAAAGATAATAATAGGACCTACTCTTTCAGTATATTGTGAGATTTCAATGAGTTAATCTCTATAGAGCCTTTAGCCAGGTACATGGTGGGTTGTAACCACTCATTGAATTTCGGTTGCTGTTTGCCTCATCTATGTTCATTTCTTGGTCTCCTCATTTATTGAATTGCAATGTGCAGAGATATGCCTGGGAATCTGTATTTTTGAAAAGTTCTTCAAAGGAGTCTCTCCTATATACTTCTGATTAGGAATTACTGCTTTAACAGAGAAATAAAAGAGAGTCACTAATATGTTTAGAAAGGTACAAAAGTAATAAGACTTCTGTTTCCCTTACCACTAACTAGTAGGTAAGGAGATAGGTATGAGTGGATCCCGGCTTCATGGTCACCTTAACTTTTCTCCATGTAGACTTTGCAGGAGAAGTCCTAACCAACTGGTGATGGATAGGGTGTGTCAGACAAGGAAAAGGGCAGGCACTTAGAGGATTCTATTTGATTTTCTCCAAATAGGTCAAACTTTATCTCCTCAGTCTGTTCCAGCTACAAATCTTGAAGTGAAAAATGGAGTGAATTGTGAACACAGTCCTGTAGATTTAAGCAAGGTAAGCAGAGACATGGGAAGTTGATTTCAAAGCTTAAGGTTATCTCTAGTGGAACCATAGGTCCAACTGCTGGAATCTGGGCAAGCTTTGCTATTTTAATACCCTTTTTGCAAGACCAGAGTTTCTTCTGTGGAAAAGGAGGCCCATCTGCTCAGGTCTTCTCCCCACTACCTGACCCCCAGGTGGGATTGACTTGTTAGTTTGTTCCTCCAGGTTCAAAATGCTGAAAATTGTGACCAGCTACTGAGAGTCCTCCCCAATCCAGACCTCTTGATTTTTTTCACGTATTTTTTGGTAGCCAGTCTCCTGCAGCTCCTTCTTATATCCAAGAGTTTTGCCAAAACAGTACTTTTGCTACCTCATGGTAGAAACACGTCTTGCAGGCTGTGACTGTGTAATCTGAGGCCTGCAGCAATAGCAGCACCTCACTGCAGTTTCTGGTCTAAACCTTGATCTCCCTGCTTCTAACCTCTCCTTGCTCTGGTCTACCCCTGGCACTATTTTTCTAAAACAAAATAGTGTCATATCACTTTCTCTGCTCGAAGATTCCTGCTTTATTTAGAAAACCTGAAACCTCTGACAATGGATTCAAGTATTTAAAAAGTGAAATTATGTGACCCAGCATTTCAGAGTCTGGGGAAGCATGGTAGAGTAGAATTCAAACCAGAATACCTGTATTTATGTTTGTTTGTTTGTTTGTTTTGAAGTGCCAAGAATTGAACCCGGAGCATTATACATGCTAGGCATGAGCTCTACCACTTAGCCACACCCCACCCCCAGCCTTCAGAATACCTAAATTTAAATTTGATTCTTTATTTTACAGCCCTGGGCAAGTTAACTTTAGCTCTCTGGATCTCAGTTGCTTTATTTTTTAAATAGTAATATTATTATGGCCTGTCTTATCTATCCATACAGAGTTTTTGTAAGGATCAAATAAGACTATGAGAAAATACTTGTTAACCATAAAATCACAATGTGAATTTCAGGTATGAGGAGAGTGGTTTATATTTAAGATGATGGCTCCCAAATTGTCAGAAGGCTCTTTTGCACTTTCAGGTGGACCTTCATTTTATGAAAAAAATTCCCAGTGGGGCAGAGGCCTCAAATGTCCTGGTTGGAGAGGTGGATACTTTGGACCGGCCCATCGTTGCCTTTGTGAGGCTGTCTCCAGCTGTTCTTCTCTCAGGCCTGACAGAAGTGCCAATCCCAACAAGGTAAAGGCAAAGATAAAACTTTCTATCTGGAGTATAAATCTATGTGAACACTGGTAGAAGATAGCTAATACCAAAAGTTAGAACTGATTAATTTAGGAATGGTGTTAAAAAATTTGGCAGCAAGCTCAGAAAACTGGGGTATATTTGATTAACTGCTATGCAAAGAAATTCTGATTTTTAAGGCTATGATTACATGGTACCTACAGCCTTGAAAATGGAAAATGGAGGAGCAATCAGAGGGCATAGCAAAGGCCAGTCACTTGTTATAATAGGAAGCCTAAATCTCACTCTCTCAGTTCTACAGAGCCATATTCAAGGGAGATTCTTTAAGCAAGGGTATTGGTGTCTCTTTCCACAATTCTGGAAGGGTTTATGTGCTTTGCATATATGCCTGCATTTGTTCAAAAGGCTATTCATGTGCTCTGAAGGTGGTGATGCCATTGATCCAGAGCCCCACAAATTATAGATAGTATTCAGATGTCCAGAACAGAGGTTAAACTTCTTTATAATGATCATTTCAGCTTCCTTTTTCTGCATTTTCTTATTAGAACAATGAATAGGAGTCAGATAACCTTGAATTTGTACAACAATGCCATGTTTTGAAAAGATGTCCTTCCTACACCTAGGAATTGTGTCTATGAAAACCCTAAGAAATATAGCCACAGTATTGAATGATGTCATACAAATAGCTTTCAGTGTCCATAGTGGGGCTATTAGGTTAAGGCAACTTGAAATGATCCATCTCTGTTTCTCTGTCTCTCTGTCTCTCTCTCTCTGAAGGTACAATGATGATTTTTTTTTTTTTTTTGGATAGGAGAGAGAAATGTTTTACTGTCTAGAGAGGAATAAGATGCTGCTTCTACAGAGTTACTTATGTAATTTCTTCTTCTGTGTGTTTTGCCAGATTTTTGTTTATCTTATTGGGCCCAGTAGGAAAAGGTCAGCAGTACCATGAAATTGGCAGATCCATGGCCACCATCATGACAGATGAGGTATGTGCCATTTCTGCTTTTCACTCATTCATCTCATAAATATTTATTGTTTATTCTGTGCCAAATACTGTGCTAGTGATTGGAGATAAAATAATTACAATTGCATTGTCTGGTGGGAATCAGTTCAGGGCATTTTTCTGAGAGCCTCTTGTAGGAATACCAAGCCCTCTGGGAGATTTAAAAAATTTTTTTTAAATTTGTTCTATTTGATTATACATGACAGTAGAATGCATTTTGACACATTGCACACAAATGAACACAACTTCTCATTCCTCTGGCTGTACATGGTACAGAGTCACTCCAGTAGTGTAATCATACATGTATATAGGATAATAATGTCTGTCTCATTCTATCAACCTTTCCATCTCCAGTGCCCTACCCCTCTCCTCACTCCCCTCTGCATAATCCAAAGTTCCTTCATTCTCCCCACACCACTTGATCATGGGTCAGCATCCACTTATCAGAGTGGCCTCTTTTTTGGAGAGGGGGATTGGCTTATTTCACTTAGCATGATATTCTCTAGTTCCATCCATTTACCTACAAATGCCATTCTTCTTTAAGGCTGAGTAATATTCCATTGTGTATATGTACCATATTTTCCTTATCCATTCATCTGTTGAAGGGCATGTAGGTTGGTTCCATAGTTTAGCTATTGTGAATTGAGCTGCTATAAACATTGATATGGCTGTGTCATTGTAGTATGCTGATTTTAGGTCCTTTGGGTATAAACTGAGGAGTGGGATAACTGTGTCAAATGGTGATTCTAAGTTTTTTGAGGAATCTCCATACTGCTTTCCATAGTGGTTGCACCAAATTGCAGCAATGTATGAGTGTACCTGTTTTCCCACATACTCACCAACACTTATTATTGCTTGTATTCTTCATAATTGCAATTCGGACTAGACTGAAATGAAATCTTAGAGTAGTTTTGATTTTAATTTCTAGAGATGATGAACATTTTTTCATATATTTGTTGATTGATTGTATTTCTTCTTCTGTGAAATGTTTTCTCAGTTCCTTAGCCCATTTATTGATTGGGTTGTTTGTTTTTTTAGTGTTCAGTTTTTTGAGTTCTTTTTTTTAAAAATATGTTGAGGGCTGAAATCAAGTCAAGATGGCGCCTGGCACTTTGCCAGGAGGAGTGGTCTGTGAAGCAATGCCAGCAAGCCATTAAGATGATGAGGATTCCTTATTGGTTGACTGCTGTATCTTGTTTATGTTAATTGAGTTAAGCTGTGTGTAATTAGTTAAGTATATATACCTCTGCTGTCCAGCAGAGAAGCGGCTCCTACTATCTCGGGTGCCCGCTACTTTGAGTTCTCGCTCAGTTCCTGCTGAGTTCACTCGCAGTAAAGTAGTTCCCGATTCAACCTTCAAGTTGCTTGTCATCTCTCGGTTATTTAACCCAGCCGGACTAGGGCAAAAATACTCTTATTTATTTATTTATTTTATGTGGTGCTGAGGATTGAACCCAGTGTCTCACACATGTGAGGCAAGCACGTTGCCACTGAGCCACAATCCCAGCCCACTGAGTTCTTTATATATCCTGGAGATTAGTATTCTGAGGTGCATATGGTAAAGATTTTCTCCCATTCTATAGGCTCTCTCTTCACATTATTGATTGTTTCCTTTGCTGAGAAGAAGCTTTTTAGTTTGATCCCCATTTATTGATTCTAATTTTACTTCTTGCACTTTAGGAGTCTTATTAAGGAATTTAGGTCCTAAGCTAACATGATGAAGATTTGGGCCTACTTTTTCTTCTGTTAGCCACAGAGTCTCTGTTCTAGTGCCTAAATCTTTGATCCACTTTGAATTGATTTTTGTGCAGGGTGAGAGATAGAGGTTTAATTTCATTTTGCTATAGATGGATTTTCACTTTTCCCAGCACCATTTGTTGAATAGCCTATCTTTTCTCCAATGTATGTTTTTGGCACCTTTGTCTAGTATGAGGTAACTATATTTATGTGGGTTTGTCTCTGTATCTTCTGTTTTGTATCATCGGTCTACATGTCTATTTCGGTGCCAATATCATGCCATTTTTATTATTATTACTCTGTAGTATAGTTTGAGGTCTGGTGTTGTGATGCCTCTGGCTTCACTATTCTTGCTAAGGACTGCTTTGGCTATTCTGGGTCTCTTATTTTTCCAGACTAATTTTCTAGTTCTATGAAGAATGTCATTGGATTTTTTAAAATATATTTTTTATTTGTAGATGGTCACAATATCTTTATTTTATTTATTTATTTTTATGTGGTGCTGAGGGTCGAACCTAGTGCCTTTACCACTGAGCCACAATCCCAGCCCCATGTCATTGGGATTTTAATGGGAAGTGTATTAAATCTGCATAACGCTTTTGGCAATATGCTTTTGACAATATTAATTCTACCTATCCAAGAGCATGGGAGGTCTTTCTATTGTCTAAGGTCTCTTCAATTTCTTTCTTTAGTGTTCTGTAGTTTTTTCATTGTTGAGGTCTCTCACTTTTTTTGTTGGATTGGTTCCCAAGTGTTTTTTTGTTGTTGTTGTTTATTTGTTTATTTTTTGTTTTTTAACTATTGTGAATGGGTAGTTTTTCTAATTTCTCTTGTAGTGGATTCATCACTTATATATAGAAATGCGTTTGATTTATGGGTATTGATTTTATATCCTGCTACTTTGCTGAATTCATTTAGTTAAAGCTAATTTATTTATTTATTTATTTAATTCTAGAAGTTTCTGGTGGAATTTTTTTATCTTCTAAATTTAGAATCATGTTGTCAGCAAATAGTGATAGTTTGAGTTCATCTTTTCCTATTTGTATCTGGGGGTTTTTCTTCCTATGTTATCTCTCCCTTTTTGGTTAATTAAGGATGAGGAGAAATCCTTTTCTGGGAAAATTATTATTTCCAAGTAATATATGGAGAGAAATACACTTAAAGCTGACTTAATTTCCTAGAGAATATGGTTAATTAAATATATCTAAGCTATTTGCGTAAAATCTTCACTCCCACATAAATGAGACCAGTTTGTATAAGGTCAGGTGTACGATCTTAGCCAGTGTCATGTGAATGTTCTTGTTTGGCATTGTACGATCCACAGTGCCAAACCCTGGAGAGGACCATGTTGCACATATGAACTGCAAAGCTGAGCTTTCAAGCATATGTTGTAGTAGGCAAAGGGAGGTATGGGCTATTTTTTCAGCTCTCTTTGGGAGGCTTATTTCAACTTCCTTAGTAATTCCATCCAATTTTTCTAAACATTATAATCAAAAAAATTTCCATACATCATTTTTCCCCATCCTTTGAGAATATAATAGCTTTGTATATCTTTAGAGTCATATCTATTTCTTCTTATACTAGCAGATATTTATTAATTCTTTTTGACCCAACTCATCTCTAAAGGTTCATTTTTTTAAATATTTTATCTTTGCACTTGTCTAAGTGCTAAATTTTCTTCTTCTCAGGTCCCTATGACAGAGATAAATATCAATAATTTGAGTAAAGTAACTTTCAACTTTCATAAGAGTTTTTCCTTTTTTGTAGATTTTTCATGATGTGGCATATAAGGCAAAAGAGCGAGATGATCTCCTAGCTGGGATTGATGAGTTCCTAGACCAGGTGACGGTGCTTCCTCCAGGGGAATGGGACCCCTCCATTAGAATTGAACCACCTAAAAATGTCCCTTCACAGGTAATGTATGCACATTAGCCAGTGGTGGCTAGTGTCACTGAGTGCCCACCATGAATAAAGCAAAGTCCATGTGGACATATACTAAATAAATTGAGCTGTGGTTCTATTTTGGGGCTCCTAGAATGTCAGAATAATAATAAAAAATGAATATTCAGTAATATAGATTGTTTTAGATGCAATGAGATAGCAGGGTTACATGGGAATGAAGTCTTTAAAATTTTTTATTTGTTCTTTTTAGTTATACGTGACAGTGGAATGTAATTTGACATGTTATATGTACATGGAGTATAACTTCCATTCTTGTGGTTGTACATAATGTAAGAGTTACATTGGTTATGTGTTCATATATAAACATAGGGAAGCTATGTACTACACATTCTACTGTCTTTCCTATTCCCAACTCTTTCCCTTCCCTTTATTCCCCTTTTTCTAATCCAGAGTACTTCAATGCTTCCCTTCCCCCCCTCCCCTTATTATTTGTTAGCATCTGTATATTACAGACAACATTCAGCCTTTGGTTTTTTGGGATTGGCATAGTTCACTTAGCATGATAGTCTTCAGTTTCATCCAATTACCAGCAAATACCATAATTTCATTCTTCTTTATGGCTGAATAATATTCCATTGTGTATATATACCACATTTTCTATTTTTATTCATCTATTGAAGGCACCTAGGTTGGTTCCATAGCTTAGCTATTGTAAATCAAGCTGCTATAAATTGATGTGGCTGCATCACTCTAGTATGTTGATTTTAAGTCCTTTGGGTATATACCAAGGAGTGGGATAACTGGGTCAAATGATGGCTCTATACCCAGTTTTCTGAGGAATCTCCATACAGCTTTCCAGAGTGGTTACACCAATTTTCAGTCTGGGCATGAATTTTCAGCCAAATTTTGAAGGCATTGATGTAGAATGGCAGAGAGGAGAAGGGAGAACATTTCTTGACAGTATATTATGTTTAAAGTTATCAAGTGAAAAAAAGACAACAAGCTGTATGGAGAGAACAAATAGGATTTCTTTACCTTTCTGACATATTAAGAGTGGGAAGAAAATTTCTGCTATGTACTAGGTACTAGGGCAGATGCTTCATACATGTGAATTCAACTTTCCCAGCAATATTTCCTCCAAAAGGTATTGTTATCTTTAGTTTACACATGAGAAATAAAATGATCTTAGGGCAAGGTTTTATGGTAAAGTAAGATTATACAGAAGCAGATCTGAAACTGAAACTCTGATGCCAAAGCCTCCATTTTTTGTTTCTGGGCAAGATACAGTTAGGAGTCAGGTTCTATTGCAGAGGAAAAGAAATTTTATATATATAAATTCACACACACTTTTTTCTTCCCCAGGAAAGTCAGTAAATTGCATCAACTCAGTAAATGCATTTGAAAACTACAAACACTTGAGCATTTGGGTTGCTTTTGGGTTATCCCATCACCACTCCCCACTGTTAGCAGGAACTACAGATAAATACTGATTTTACTAACTTTATGGTCTTCTGTTAAAAGGAGAAAAGGAAAATGCCTGGTGTTCCAAATGGAAATGTTTGCCACATAGAACCAGAACCACACGGGGGTCATAGTGGACCAGAACTGCAGCGTACTGGGCGGTAAGTTCTGGGTTATTTCACAGCTGATGCTGCTTACTGTGCAGAAGTTGTGTGAAGGAAAGAAGCATCCTTTTTTGTTTTCAATCTTCTTCTCTGTAGTGGGACTTTATTGTCTGGAAATAACTTTTCAGATGGAATTACCAAGTATAGGTATTATAAATATATCAAATGTATTCATTCATTCAAGTTTCTGAAACCACCTATCATGTTCTGTCTCGTGTCCAATCCTTTCCACACATTGTTCCCTCTGATTTGAACACTCTCCACCTTCCTCATCTCCTGGCTAACTCAGCTCAACTCAGGTGTCCCTTCCTTTGGAAAGCTTTCTTGTGTTCTCCATAGTCAAAGGTAGGTTTTCCTGTGGTGTAATGCCTCAGCATTACGTTAGAGGGAAAAGGTACTATCTTAGGTTTGTATGTCTCAGAATAGGCAATCTAATCTTCTAGGCCAATATTTTTAAGAACAGATGTCCAAGGAAAAGGGCTTTTATGGTAGGTGAGAGCAACAATCTCCAGATTAGGAGGTTTTATTTCCCAGCCAGGAAGGTGGTAAAAGAGGGGATGATATTTGGCATTGGTGTGACATCCAGTGGTGTTCTCAGATTAGAGAATGTTACGACTCTGACTCTGGCTCTGTATTTTTGTGCTGAGAAGAATGTACTGGATGGAGATTCACATATCATAAAAAAAGCTTTTATGGCTTCTATTTCTTTTTTTTTAATCCTTTTTTTCCTATCTTGCTTGAGATTGCTTTCCTTTCGTCTTTTATCCTTAGTATTCTACCCAGTGGAAAGTCAGATTTTTGTTTGTTTTGTTTTGAAATTATGGACAGTGATTTACTTTTTCACTCATGAAAATTCAGGGAGAAACTAGGAGAAACAAGAGAATGGCACTTATCTAATAGTATCCTGATAAAGTAATATGTTCTAGTTGAAGGAGTGCATTCAAGAAGATAGCTATGCTCTGAGAGGGAGCCTTGGCACAAAGGAGGAGCCTTTGAAAGGAAAGAGTCACTGAGAAGAGGTCTGAATGGCAGGGAGGCCTGATCCTGAGAGGCAATAAGGGAATGACTGTCCTTAGAATTGGCTCCAGGATTGGGACTGTCTTAGAAGAAATGGGGTTTGTAATTGTTGTTGTTTGTTTAAGGAAAGGGTCTTGAGTATGGATTTGATAATTTCAGAATTATGACTTTTTTTAATAATAAAAAGGGTGTCCACACCCTAGGACTTAAAGTTAGAAAATAATGGAATCAAAAGCAACAGGTTTTCCTCAAACAGGTATCTGTACAGAGGTATGATTTCAGAAAAAAAAAAAAAAAAAAGATTTCAGTTTTCTTTCCCTGCCAAAGAAAATAAATAATAATAATAAAATAATAAACAAGATAGCCATGTTTATGATTAATTCTACATGAGGATTTGGGAAACCATTTGATTGCATCTCAACCATTTTGAGATCTCAGAAAAGGTACCTAATGTATCCACAGAAAATTTCATATCAACAGGTCTATCACATGCTTAATCAAAAGCCCCAAGTATTTTTTACGTATGTATGTATGTATTTTGGTGCCAGGGATCGAACCTGGGGGCACTTAACCACTGAGCTACATCCCCAGCCTTTTTTATTTGTTTAAATATATTTTTTTTAGTTGTAGTTGGACACAATACCTTTATTATTTATTTTTTATGTGGTGCTGAGGATCGAACCCAGTGCCCTGCATGTGCTAGGCGAGCACTCTACTGCTGAGACACAACCTCAGTGCCCCCATTTTATTTTTTATTTAGAGACAGGGTCTTGCTAAGTTGCTTAGGTCCTAACTAAGTTGTGGAAGCTGGCTTTGAACTTGTGATCTTCCTGCCCCAAGTACTTTAACATATAAATTCAGATAGAGTTTGATAATGTCACATCAGGAAATTCTGAAATTAACAAAGCTAAAAACTGGGCTCAGAGCTTAGTTTTGCTTTAGACCTTTCCTTCTGAGCACTTAGTAAAGGGCCTCAGACCCATGACTTTCTTCTTGGACCAGGTGACTTACTGCCTGTATTGGTATCAGAGATCCCAGTTTCAGTCCATCTCTGGCCCCTTCTCCATTTCAAGTTATGTGGGAAAGAAATGTGAGACATTTGCTGTAGATGGACATCCAGACATTTCTGGACCTTCCCGGACTGCACAATCTGAAAACACATTAGTAGCCAGGCACAGTTGTACATGCTTTTAATTCCATTAGCTCAGGAGGCTGAGGCAGGAGGATCTTAACTTCAAAGCCAGCCTCAACAACTTAGTGATGCCCTAAACAATTTAGTGAGACCCTGTATCTAAATTAAAAAATTAAAAGGGCTGGAGATGTGGCTCAGTGATAGTGGTTAAGAACCCCTGGATTCAATCTCTAGTACCAAAATAATAATAATAATAATACATTGTTAAATAAAAATTTAAAAAACTCATTAACTTGGGTTTTTCAGTTATACCACTCCTTAGTTTTTATCCTATTGAATTAAAGTCAGCATACTATAGCAATACATATATACCCATGTTTATAGCAGCATAGTTCACAATAGCCAAATTATGGAACTAGCCTAGATGTTGGTCAATGGATGATGGATAAATAAACTATGGTATATATACACAATGAAGTTTTATTTAGTCACATAGAAGAATTAAATTATGTCATTTTCAGGAAAATGGAAGGAACTTGAGAGCTTTATGTTAAGTGAAATATGCCAAACTCAGAAAGTTAAAGATCATAAGTTATTTTTTTATCATATGTGGAAGTTAGAGAGAAAAGGGACAAAAAAACGGTAGGGGGAATCTCATGAAAATAGAAGGGAGATCAGTAGAATAGAGGGAGGAGAAGAGAGAAATGGGAAGGTACTGGGAAATGAAATGGGCCAAATTATACTATTATATTTCATGCATGTATGCATATGTAACAATGAATCCCAATTTTATGTATAATTATAATGCACCAATAAAACATGTGATAAACACATTATCTTAGGTTTTATAATTCTTCAAACCATTAGTTAAGTTTCTTTGTAAGCAAAGCCTGCTTTGTGCATATCATGTTATACAACGTTGAGGCAAAACTTGAAGACATAAGATACGTTATTCTTGTAGGACTAAGAGGTATTTGAAAACGGAGTAGAGTAGACTCTAAGAAGCTGGGAAAGGAGTCAGAGTTGAAAATAGTACTGTGATTTCTGTTTTATCTGACCCTCCAAGCCAGGGCTATGACAGTGTTTTGAACCTCCCTGATGTCATCACAGACAGGGACACCATATGTTGCAAGAAAGTATGTCTAGAGTCTTCCTTGTCCAGAAGATCCACAGCAAGAAAGATACTCTGGAAAGGGGTTTTCCAGGGTAGATTTATATCCTTTATCGGAGGTGCCAGTTTGGGGGAAGGGTTAATGTAAAAAAAAGAATCAGGAGCTGCTATCTCGATGATACCCCCACACTTCAAACAGGTTTCTTCCAAAGCACACCAGACAAATGGATGACTGGCCTGTCCCTAAAGCCCTCCAGGAAAGGGCTCCCTAAGTCAGTGCTCCAGATCCTAGTGACCCTCTACACGGGTAAGTTCTTTCTTACGTCAAGCTTAAATTCATATTCCTCTGTGCCTCCTGCCCCCCAAAACTTGAACATCAAGAACAGTGTTGAAAGGGAAAGGAAGTCTCAAATATGAAAAGAAGCATTGAGGCCTAAGTTAATATCTGTGGTAGATGTGAAATTATCATCTGGTTTTATGCATGAATGAGGTATTAACAGTATTCAGAAATTATTTTTTTAAATGTTATACCATCAGTACGAGCCTCAAATCTCCCTCTTCTGTTTAATCATTGCTAGACAGACAGATTTCTTCCCTTTTTGTGGCTTTTCATAAGCACATGTCACATCAATCTTTTGTCTGTTGCTCACAGACTCTCCTCTCCAAAGATGCCTCCTGTGTCCAGGGATAGGCTAATCATGGCAGTGTTTCTGGTGGCCTCAGTGGGAGGTCAGAAGGAAGTTCTTTTTCGAAGATAATGCCCTTCAGAGGAAGGTTGCTTGTGATGAGGAGGTGACAGTCACTGGATGCTATGGCAGCTAAGGACCCAGAAACACTTGAATCTTATCCCCAGAATAATCACTGTTGCCTGTGAGATCCTTGAAGGGTTATTTATCCAGAGAAGAGAGCAAGACAAAGCAACAATCAAAATCTGAGGCTGAAGGCTCCTGATCTATGTTGAACCCTCTAGATACTTCTTTACCTGAGCTAGGTTTGCCAGACAGTCTAAAATTAAAGGCAGGTCATAAGACTGGCTTTGCCTCTCTTCTCTAAGCCTACACTCAGATGTCATGTTACTACTATAGATGGAGCAAAGGTGAATCCCAACTACACCCACCCAGAGAAATAGAGCAAGTGGGCATGATAGAACAGTGTCTGCCCTGTGAACACCTGCATACCCATTGTGCAGCTAGATAAGAAAGAGTGAGTGGAGAAAGAACTGGCTGGGCTTTCTCCCCTGGCATGTGGGTCCTAGACCTCACCATACTTTTCCAGGCTCCTAGAAGAGAGAAGGGAAGAAAGAGCTGGCAAGCCTCCTTTCGTGAGAGAGTAACTTTTTTTTAATAGTTATAGATGGACAGCATGCCTTTATTTGTATATTTTTTTATGCGGTGCTGAGGATCGAACCCAGTGACTCACACATGCTTAGGCAAGCGCTCTGCCACTGAGCTACAGACCCGGCCCAACTTTTTTGTTTTTTATTTAGTTTTAGCTCTTTATTACGGAAAATTTCAAATGTAAAAAAAGGAAGAGAAGCAACTGTTATCAACATTTTTCCAATCTTGTTTTATCTATTTCTTCCCACTTATTTTTCTGCTTTCTAGGTTATTTTAAACCAAATCACAAAATATATTTTTTCCTATAAATACCTCAGTATGTATCATGTTTGATAAGAACATTTTAAAAAATAATTATGCCATTATCAAATGTAACAAATCTAATAATAATTCTTTAAATCATCTAATACTTAGGTGCACTTTAAATTTTTTGTGATTGTCACCATCATCTTTTTAGGGTTCATTTGTTTGATGTAGGATCCAGTCCATTTTGCATTTGGTTACTATGTTCTCATCCTACAATAGTCCCTCTTCCTTTCCTTTTTCTCTATGCTGTTGATTTGTAGAAGAAACCAAGTGATGTGTCCTGTGAGATACAGTGTGGCTCTTTTTGTTACTCACTAGGCAGTTTCCCCCCTGGTACAGTGACTCCATTCTTAGAAAAAAATGACTGAGTCTGGGAGCAAGATCTCCTCCTTGGCTCTCCAAGATCTTGCTCCTCATCTGTCTCATCCATGGGAAGTGGAGAGGACTCTGAAGTCCTGCCACTGAGTCCTATTGATTCTACTTCCTGATTAAACCTTAAATCCATCCACTTTTCTCCTCATCCCAATTTACACTGCCTTCATCACACTGCCACAAGAGTGTTGGTCAATGGATGATGGATAAATAAACTATGGGATATATACATAATGAAGTTTTATTTAGTCACAAAGAAGAATTAAATTATGTCATTTGCAGAAAAATGGAAGGAATTTGAGAGCTTTATGCTTGTTGGATTATAAAGCTCCACTGTGTTTACAGTCCTTGAGTAGCTTGACTTAAAACTGTCATAAGGCCTTTCGTGACTCAGCTTCTTCAGCCTTGTCTGTTGGTGTTTGCCCCTTGCACTGTATTGTCTAGTCATAAATCTTCCAGCACCTTGAACCACTGTGTAGTCTCAACTCTAGGTGTCACCCATGCTGGTTCCTCTGCCTCATCTGGCTATCTTCCAGTCCATCCTTTGAGTCCCTGCTGAAATTCCCCTCCTTGTTCTGTGCTACCACAGTGCCTGTCTCCTGTACTAGAGGAGAGCAAAGGCTGTGTTTGTCTTGCTCACTGCTGCATCTCCAGTACCTTGGCACAGTGCCTAACACCAAGTATCTGCTACTACTTGTCAATGGCATGCACGAACGATTATGCTAATTCTCAAGAGGAAGGTAGGTAGTTGTTCAGAGTAAGAAAGTACATGTGATGGGGCATTTCATCTGGAAAATGTGTAATAAAACTAACAATTTTATATCTCGAGTCAGTTTTGTATATTTTCTCCAAACAGATCAGAATTTGAAGTTTGAAGCCAATACTTGCTTCCTTATTAACTTTTTGAACTTTTTATTAAATGGGTAATATGATACCCAAATTAATTTTTTTGAATTGAATAAATCATTCAGATTTATAGTAAGCTATGCCTTGATGGCACATAGAATCTGTGCTGACCCCAGAGAGATCTGCTATACTTGAGGTCAAATTGAAGCCAAAATACTACTTTAGTACAGAATACATTTAAAATGTTTTCAAATGTGTGCCATTCATTATGCATTTGTGAAAGAGGGGCTGTGTTAGAGGCCTGTCTGCTATGTTTCTGCAGGCTATTTGGGGGCTTGGTGCTGGACATCAAGCGGAAGGCCCCCTGGTACTGGAGCGACTACCGGGATGCACTCAGCTTACAGTGTCTAGCCTCCTTTCTGTTCCTGTATTGTGCCTGCATGTCACCTGTCATCACCTTTGGGGGATTGCTTGGAGAAGCCACTGAGGGACGCATAGTAAGAACTTTCAATCACTTTTAATGGTCCTAAACACAACTTAAAAATATTATGGTGGCAGCCAACTCCATTGGGAGGAAATTACCTGGACTAGGACTGAGGAAATTGGATTCTTTCTCTTGAATAACTGAGGACTTCTGTCTTCATATAAGAAAAACCTTCTCCCTCTTGAGCAGACTATCTTCTGCTCCAATGTCAGTTACAATAGCTGGTTGCCTAGTTGAATTGCTCATTGGCCCAAGAATGGAAAATGGATATATTGATGTCATTTGAAAATAAGATTTTAAGTGATTGTATGACAACTTGTAGTGTGAATAGCATCACCGTGCCTTTAATGTATTTTTGAATACTGAATTGAATCACCGAAGGACAAGAACTTAGTTAAGGAATCATATGTAAATGGATTTGGATACCTGAATTATTAAAGTGGGATCTGTTTACAAGAGTATTAGATGGTGTGTGCACATCACCCTTGCTAAGAAATACAAGCAAATAACTGTCAAGGCACATATTAGGGCTAAGTCGGGAGTATATATAAGCCAACATTACTCTTTACTGATGGACTACGTGAACTTAAGTGATTTCTTTTCCTTCTCAGAGTGCAATTGAATCCTTATTTGGAGCCTCCATGACCGGGATTGCCTATTCCTTATTTGCAGGACAGCCCCTTACCATCTTAGGAAGTACGGGGCCCGTTCTTGTGTTTGAAAAGATTTTATTCAAATTCTGCAAGTAAGATATTTGTTTTTCTGAAAACTGTTATTGGCTGTGGTTATTGTGATGCCAGGGTTGAATAACAGGATTCTACACAAATTTAAAAGTAAGCAAATATTCTGAATTATAAGAAACCTGAAGAAAGAACATCATTTGGTCTATAATTCTGCCCCCAGGCAACACGTACCTAAAATTGTAGATCCTCTATTTTTTAAATTTATTTTTTAGTTGTTGATGGACCTTTATTTTATTCATTTATTTATATACAGTGCTGAGGCTCAAACCCAGTGACTCACACATGCTAGGCAAGCGCTTTACCGCTGAGCCACAGCCCCAGCACCCCCCATTCTTTAAAATTTTTTTTTTAGTTGTGAATGGATCTTTATTTTATTTATTTATTTATATATGGTGCTGAGGATCAAACCCAGTGCCTCACCCATGCCAGGTGAGTACTGTACCACTGAGCCGCAACCCAGGCCTGAAATCTTGACTTTTTAATCTTTAAAAAAACTTTCCCTAGCTAACCCCAAGTCTTCCATGTCCATTTCAAGTCAATTTATAATTTTTCCTGCTATCCCTCCTTAATGTTCTGGTGGCTGGTGGTAGTAGGGGCTCTGCAATGTCTTAGATTTCCTATTTTTTCTATAAAGTCTTTTTTTCCATTTTGTACTAGAATTAGGAGAATATGGGACTAGAACCAGCTCTTTTTTCTTATTGCATGAACAGTCTCTTAATTACATTGAATTTTAGTGGCAAAAATGTGTTCAAAAGGATTCCTTCCTTCTCCACTTTCTATATAGCTTCACAGGCGAATAGCACTTGGGAAACAAATCTGTAACATACCTGTCCCAGGGCACTATTTAGAACTGAAGTTCAGTCAGGATTAAGTATCAGCTGGGTTGCAATGGTGGTGTAGCTGACATGAGATGAATTAACCATATTTGACCCTTTTGTGTCTTCGTGCCATTCATGCTTTTTGATGAACTTTGGTCTTGTTTCAGAGATTACACCCTTTCATACCTCTCTCTTCGAGCTTGTATCGGACTGTGGACCGCCTTCCTGTGTATTGTCCTTGTGGCAACTGATGCCAGTTCTCTTGTCTGCTACATTACCCGCTTCACTGAAGAAGCATTTGCCTCCCTGATTTGCATTATTTTCATCTATGAAGCTATAGAAAAGCTGATTCATCTGGCAGAGACCTACCCTATCCACATGCACAGCCAGCTGGACCACCTTAGCCTCTATTAGTAAGTATGCTTTCTGCTTGTCTTTTTTTTTTCTTCTTCTTCTTTTAATGGACAAAGGGGCCCAAGTTTAATAGCTTGTGTAGTGTGCCAGGCAGCGCTTGTAGCTTCTGTTGAGGAAGCGTCTTGGCCTTCTGGGAAACAGAACTTAGATATGTATGAGGAAGCTTGGAGGACCGCCAGAGAAGAACAATCAAAAGTGATGACAAAGGATGGACTGAGAATGAAGCCCAGAGCAGACTTGAGAAGTTCTTTCTAGAGAATGTCTTTTGGGTCTAGGCCTTGAAACAAAAATAGGCTTCAAATGTAGCAGAGAAAATTTGAGTTAGTTATTGAAAAGATCTTTTTGTAAGGACTTGTGAGCCCCCGGGACCACACCATCAAGTGAGAGAATGGACCCTTTCTCTGAAGGTGTATAGGCAACGTGTAGGAAATGTTAGGTAGAGATGGTTTAATAATTCCTTTCAGATCACGAGTCACTCCCACTGTATCATAAAGATCTAGAAACCTCTTTCTTTACTTCTAGATTTCAACTCAAGAGAGTGTTTTCTTCATGTGTTTGACATTATTTGGACCAATTAGAAAATAAACACCATATCTAGCTGTATTATCAACCATCTAGGAAAATCTAGTCCTACATATCATTTCTTCTCTGGAATAGTATTTTCCAAATTATGATTAAAGATCCTCTTCCTCTGGCTCTGTACATTATTCCCTCCTTTCTGACTATATAGTTCTCATGTGGAGAATCTGATTGGAAGCATCTGCCAACCAGCCACAAATATACTTTCATCTATTCTAGTTATCCATTCATTAACTTTTATTAAAAAAATTTAAAGTATTTTAATACAAAGTATTTTAATACAAAATAAAGTATATATATATATATTTTTTTTTTTAATATTTATTTTTCAATTTTAGGTGAACACAATATCTTTATTTTATTTTTATGTGGTGCCGAGAATTGAACCCAGTACCTCACGCACACCAGGCGAGCTCACTACCACTTGAGCCATATCCCCAGCCCCTAAAATAAAGTATTTTAATAACAATGATTAAGGACTATCATCTCCAAAGCCTAATGAATTGGGACCTATTGTCATTGAAGTTCTTACTTTTGTAAAGTTAATTTTTTGACCTCTTTTTAATCATTCATTTATTTAAAAAATGTTTGTCAAACACCTGTTATGCACCAGGTACTGTTTTAGGCCTTGGAAACAGTAGTAAACACAATAGTCAAACAGATCCCACTTTAATAATTCAGGTATCCAAATCCATTTACATATGATTCCTTAATTAAGTTCTTGTTCTTCAAAGACTCAATTCAGTATTCAAAAATACATAAAAGGCACAATGGTGCTATTCACATTACAAGTTGTCATACAGTTACTTAAAATCTTATTTTCAAATGACATCAATATATCCATTTTCCGTTCTTGGGGCAATGAACAATTCAACTGGGCAACTTAGGATGCTTATATTGTAGTGGGAGAAGACAGACAAAAGTGACCAGCCCTGGATTAAGTTTAGACTTCGTATCTGGAAGCTGAAATCTTTTTTTGTTAATAAAACTGAAGATGGGGGACTGAGGCTCTGTAGCTCAGTGGTAAAGTGCTTGCCTTACATGTATAAGGCACTGGGTTGAATCCTCAGCACCACATAAAAATAAATTAATATACTATGTATTCATCTATAACTAAATAAATATTTTTTTAAAAACTGAAGATGGTATTTTTTCTTAGTTACATTTGACTTTTGTTTCATATGGAATTGATGTGAAATTAGAAACCTCCACTCTTTAAATGATTTTATGTTAATGTCCACAAAATTGATTTTTTAAAAATACTTTATTGCTGGGTGTGGTGGCTCACATCTGTAAACCTAGATACTTGGGAGGCGGAGGCAAGAAGATTGCAGGAAGATAGCAAGTTCAAGGCCAGCCTGGGTAACTTAGCAAGACCCTGTCTCAGTATAAAAAAATAAAAAATGCTGGGGGTGTAGCTCAAGTGGTAAAGTGTTTCTGGGTTCAATCACCAGTCTTAGGGGGTAGAAAGACTTTATTTTTTAGAACAGTTTTAGGTTGACAGCAAAGTTGAGCAGAAAGTACAAGAGTTCTCCTAGACTCCCTGCCCACCTGCTGCTGTGTATGCATACCCTCCCCCATTCTCAACATCTCCACCAGAAAAGTGCATTTGTTATAATCAATGAATTTATACTGATACATCAGTATCACCCAAAGTTGACAATTTACATTAGAGTTAACTTTTGTGTTGTATATTCCATGGATTTTGACAAATGTATAGATACATCTACCATCATATTATTATTATTTTTGTATTACTGGGGATTGAACCCAGGGATTTGTGCACTGAGCTACGTTCCCAATCCTTCCTCCCACCCCCGCCAATCCTTTTTATTTTTATTTTGAGACAAGGTATCACTAACTTATCCAGGTGAGGCTGGCTTCAAACTTGCAATCCTCCAGTCTTAGCCTCCCAAGTTGCTGGGATTACAGGTGTGCACCACCATATCCAGCTAATTTATTTATTTTTGAGACAGGGTCTTGCTATGTTTTCTAGGCTGGCCTCAAACTCCTGGGCTTAAGTGATTCTTCTGCCTCAGGCTCCTGAGTAGCTGGGTCTACAGATGCATGCCACCAAACTCAGCTTATTTTTATTTTTAATTAACACATAGTAATTTTTATACATATTTATGGAATACAGTGTAACATTTCAATACATATGTATAATATGTAATTATCAAACTAGAGTAATTGGCATATCTATGGAATTTATTTTTTAACCTAAATGTAGAACTTTTATAGCTTTCCCCATTACTTTTTGTTTTGTTGGTTTCTTCCAATTATTTTGACCTGTTGGGAACTTTCTGAATTTTAGTTCTGTCATAGAAGGCATGTTTATTAAATTCACAGGTGAAACAAAGGTGGTGGGGACAGCTATGTCAATTGATCATACTGGGAGCCAGTTCAGGCAAGAAGCATGCTGGGATTGGGAGGCAACATGGTAGAACAGGTATGGTATAGTTTGGTTTGGATGAAAGAAGAGGCCTGAGGAAGCTATTGGAGCTGCTAGGCCTGGCTTCAGCATAAATATCCAGGAAATGACCAAGGATTATTAATGATAATGCAGTGTGAGGAAGAGCTTGCATCACAATTAAGGAATCTCTGGTTTTTAGAACAGGAGCAGTATAGGAATAAAATTATCCAGACTTGGAGGAAATTGTTGAGAACTGAGTGGTGTATCAGAACCTCCTTGCCAAGTAGATTGAATTTCATAGCTAGAACCTAAGAGATAGAAGCAGGAAAGGAAACCACCAGGGCTTATTTATTCTGGGAAAATCATATGCCAAGTGTGGTTGTCAGCACATTTTTATCCAAGACCCACCTGCTGATTTGAATCCATCTTTAATAATGGCCAGTGAAAACTCAGGGTTTGGTTGGCCTTATTGGTCCTTGGCCCAAACTAGACCCATCTCACAGATCTGAAGTAGGCAAAAGAGAAAGAAGATAGGCTTTGTAGAGCCTTTAATCCAGTCATGTCTAAAAATACTTAACTGACCCTCTTACTGCTTTCCTCAGGAATCTTTTTTCCTTTCCCCCCAGCTGTAGGTGTACTCTCCCAGAGAATCCAAACAATCATACCCTGCAGTACTGGAAGGACCACAACATTGTGACAGCAGAAGTGCACTGGGATAACCTGACTGTCAGTGTAAGTCTGGGAGTAGCCTTTTGGAGAATTCTAGCATTTAAGAAAGAAAGCTCTTAAAAAAAAAACAATAAATTAATTAATTAAAAAACAAACAAAAAATTGTTCTTACTTTTTTTCCCTTTCAAAAATTTTCTTGTACATAAAAGTAGATCACCCTTCTCTTTTCTACCATATGCACCCTACCCTGTGATTCTGCATCAAGGACATGTGGAGATGAAACCACATAGGGTAGGATCCAAGTTTGTGGAGTTTAAAGGATAGTAAGTTTGGAGGTCCTCTGTAATAAAAACAATTCAGATTGCTAAGGCCTTCCCAAAGCCTTGAAAGTACTGTTTGTTCAGGACATTTATAGCTTTATTCTTAAAACTTAGTTATAACTGTAGTAGTGCCCCATTTGAAAAAGACCTGCAGGTGAGGGCCTCTCATAAGGTCAAGTAGATATTGCTGGCAGCCTATTCTGATAGGCAGCATCTATTTATTTCCTTGTGCCTAACTTTTGTCACCAGACTGCTTGTTCTTCCAGGAATGCCAAGAAATGCATGGAGAGTTCATGGGATCTGCATGTGGCCATCATGGACCCTACACTCCTGATGTGCTCTTTTGGTCCTGTATTCTCTTCTTCACCACCTTCATCCTCTCAAGCACCTTAAAGACATTTAAGACAAGCCGCTATTTTCCAACCAGAGTAGGTAGCATATTCATGCATTACTTTTGTGTTAGGATTCTAATATACTCAGCCTCCATACTTTCTGGAGTAGATTGTCAGTGGGGAAAGCTCCAGATGTCCCCATGAGGTACACTGCGGCAGTCAGTTCTAGTGTTTGGCAGCCTCTTTCATAGATCTTGCTTTCATAGATCTGTAGTATTGAATGAGGATACTTAAAACCTTTTTTATTTAAAAGTGCTGGGTAAGTTTAAGGTGGTAGTAACGTTCTCTAAAAGCTATTAAGTCTCATTTCTAGAATGCTGTTAAGTGTCATTTCCAGAATTCTGGGAGACTTAGCATTAGTAGTTGGAGCTGGCTTGTGATGATGGTAATTGGGGTGACTGTCTTGGATACTTTAGTACTTAGATACTCTAGCTACGAAGTCCCCTCCCAGGAATGGCTTCTATAATAACTTATGAAATCATTGCCCACATTGACTATAGCAGCCCGCATGCTCTTGTCTTGGTTTGCATGATGGAAGCCTCAACAGCTTTCTCTGACACAGATAGCATGTCAGGAGCAGTACTCCTGCAGGGCAGAATTAGAGGCTGAGTGTGGGCAGCTAAGGGGGCTATTTCTTTAAAAGGGAGCTAGACTCAGGAGGAAATGTTTTTTTTCTGTGAGGTTTCAATCAGGTACATTCACAGAACAGAGATATGAATGGGTAGGGGCACAGTTTATTAGATATTTATTATATACACATACATAACTAAAAAATATTCTTGGGCTTCATTGAACCTGCATAATAGTTAAGGGAGGCATGTCTTAAATAAATTCTAAGTCTTTATTTCCTATCTGGAAAAATACATTAACCTAAGTGACTGTTGGATACTGACTATGCTCAGACCCGGGGGCGCATAAACAAAGTTTAAAAGATGCTGTCTGCCATCAGAGAGGAAGAGGAGCACATGAAACAAGTAGGTGCCATATGCTACAATAGTAAGTGTTGCAAGAGCTGGTGGTAAGCCGGAGATGTAAGTGCCACAGAAGTTCAGAAGAGAGAAGGGGCACTGAGCCCTACGATGGTCAAGCAGGGTTTCATAATTAGAAAGGGGTGATTGCTTCAGAGAATTAATATAACATTCAGGGAAGAACTAACAAAACCATGAAGAGGATGCTGGTTTAGTTACTAGTTAGTCAGGTTAAGTTACTAATGATGTTACGCATGGCTAAGAAATATTTTATTCTGTCTCTGTTGGAATTGCAGATTAAGACAGACAACAGGTCACTGCATTTTATTAAAGTGACACTAAGCTATAAAGTGAGACAGTTCTCTTGGGGCAGGTCTTCAATTGGAGAGAATCTACAACAAAATGGAAATAAGTGTTGTTGAAAATAATAAAGCAGGGAAGGGTGGCTTCTGATGAATGAGGATCTCATGAAGAAGATAGTATTTGAGTTAGCCTAAAGGAGGTGAGGGAACTACCCAAGAGGTTAATTGTAGGTAACATTTTAGGTAGACTCTGAAGTTGGAGTGAGCTTGATTTATTTAAAAAGCAGCAAGGAGGCCTGTGTGGCTGAAGTAGAGTGGGTAAGCAGGAGAACATTAGGAGTTGGGACTGGAAAGGAGATGACACCAGTTGTATGGGCTTCAGAAACCAATGGGGCCTTTTAGGTTTTTAACTCAGACAAGGAACCATTTCAGGGTGTTGGCAGAGGAGTGATAATGATCCAATTTTTAAATTAGTACTCCAGCAGCTATATTTAAAGAAAATTGTGGAGGGCAGAGGCAGAAGCAAATGTGGAGATGGCTGCCATTAACCCAGCAAGAGCTGGTGTAACTTTGATCTGGGCAGGAGCAGTGGAGGTATGAGAAGTGATGATTCTGGATATGTTCTAAAGATAGGGCCTATGAACTTGGAGATGAACTGGATGTAGGGTTTGAGGGAGAAGCACAGTTGGCCCTGATGCTAAGGTTCTGGGCCAGCATAATGAACTATGGCTGGTTTCAAAAAATTGTATTCCAAGTTTTTAGAACTAGAACCCGAACCTGGTTCTAAATACCCTAAAAAGAACTCTTCAGAGTTACATTAGAGTTTGTCAGAGACTTTTTCTCCTTCATTATATCCACACTTTGTCAGCATTAATTTGGTTAGTTGAAAGGGGTTTCATGATTGGGGGGAGGAAATGCTAATATATTCCTATGGTTTAAATATGCTTGTATTAGTTTAAATGTAAAATAAGGGAATTTTTTGAGAATTTCTAAACCTTTTGCAAGACTAAATTCTTTTCTACTATATTTAACCTGCAAAAACATTGTTCTAATCCTTTCTCACGTCAGGTACGCTCCATGGTGAGTGACTTTGCCGTTTTCCTCACAATCTTCACAATGGTGATTATTGATTTTTTGATTGGAGTCCCATCACCAAAGCTTCAAGTTCCCAGTGTGTTCAAGGTAAAAAAGTCTCAGGATGTGTGGTGCCTCATGTAGTCTCATAGAATCTGATCCCAAGTTGATTTCAAAGGCCTTTTCACATCACAATCATAAGAGGAGTCTTGTAGTCCTCTAAATCTGAACCTTGTTCCTCATACCTGGCCATTCAGAAAAGCAAACTCTTTAGATCTGGTAGAGTTCAAGTTGGAAAAGTGAGAGAACAGAAAATGTAAAGTTGTTTAAATTTAATGAATGAAAAGTATTATTTATTATCATAAATACTATTGTTAAGATTTAAAATAGTGCAATGTGCCCATTTACATATATATATATATATATATTTGGGGATACTGTGGAAATGTGGGTTCCTGGAAAAAGTCTGGTTACCAGTACCTTTATTGAGCAGCAGCTGTTTAAGGACACTGGGAAGGATGAGTAAGGTAAAGGTCTTTGCCCCTCCTCTCAAGGATCTTGCAGGGTAGGAGGAGGATGGACATAAGAGGGACTTTGTCTGGACTCTAGAGCCCTAGGATATTTATAGGATAGTCCTTTAACACTATTTTATTGTTTGTTTGTATAACTCTATAATCTATAGTATTTTTCAAAAGGCCTACACAATAAATGAAATAAATGATCAATACAAAGTCTTTCAGGTTCGGATTACTAAATAGACAAAGAAGATAAAAAAGCTAAGTTAAGTTTCAAAGATTCCCATTGGGTAGAGAGGAGGAAGACTGAGCATGCTCAGTGACTTCAGAAGAGTAATAGAATGATGGGAGAGGATGTGAGGAGAAAACGGAAGGTAGACAGTCCCTGACTTATAAAGGCCCTGGTTTTGGCTTCCCTTTGTTTCTCTCCCTGAAAAAGACCTGGTTGAAAGTGTCTTTTTCCTTATTGTCAAAACATGTTTAATTTTATTAAATTTGCTGAACTTCTATCAGTTAGAAATTTATTTATTATTATTTTTTAGTTGTTGATGGACACAATATCTTCATTTTTATTTTTTTTTATGTGGACCTGAGGATCGAACCCAGGGCCCCATATATTTGAGGCAAGCACTCCACCATTGAGCTACAACCCCAGCCCTCAGTTAGAAATTTGTGGGTTAACAAGCAAACACCCTTTTCTTTTCTAAGCATAACATCTCTGAGAATCTGGCATTCTCATCTTTGTGTGAATGAGCACACTCAGCTTTCTCTCTAATACCTAGCTGAGGTCAGCCCTGCAGGAGGAATGGATTTTGTATAAAAATAGGTAATTTGGGAGCATTAAGCAGTCCTTGGAAAAATTCCCTGATGGTTAGGCTTAAGAGCATCAGAAGGTGCTGAATTTCTGGGACATCTGTGAAGAAAACCTCTGTGAAGTAGGAGAGAATTGAGAAAGGGAAATGGGAGAATGTCCAAGAAAATGTTGCTCATGGCATCCAGGCTTCACCTCCAGGAAGCAGAGAGAAAGTTTTCTTCTATTCTTCCTTCTTCCCTTCCTTTGTAAACCACATGACCCCCAAGTCCCAAGACCCAATATGAAGGCAGGTGCAAGTGTCTCTTTCTACCCATGGGATATTGGTTCCAGGATACTCTGGGGATGCAGATGCTCAGGTCCCTTCAATGAAGTTGTGTAGTATTTGCCTATAACCTACATAATCCTCTATATACTTTTAGTCATCTGTAGGTTACTTATAATACCTAATATAATGTAAATGCTATGTAAGTGGTTGTTATACTGTAGTGTTTAGGGAATAATGACAATTTTAAAAGTCTGTATGTGTTAACACAAAAGTATTTTTTTTCTGAATATCTTCAATCTGTGGTTGGTGGAATCTGAAGATGTAAAACCCACAGATAAGGCGAGCCAGCTATACTTTTACTAGGGGTTATAATGTCATTAAGGTTTTGATAGGTTTTTGTTTTGGTCTGAAAACTTAATGCCAGTTAGAACACTATTACTAAGGAAACAGGTTCTGTAAGCTTTTAGAATCTAATTCATAATTTGGGACTTGCTAATGTTATTGAAGTTTTTTTAATCCAAGAATCACAACTAATGTTTCAGATAGAATAGTCTTTGTTTATTGAGTTTGGGTCAATTCTGGGACAATTGAATCCCTGGGCTTTTATCCTCTAGCTCCACTTGCCAAAAAGGTGAACTTGTCTTCCCCAGAGTACCCTAGGAGTGGGGGTTGAGGACCTAGGAAAGTTTAGGTATGTCATGAACACCTCAATAAAATTTGTGAACAGTTGTCTTATAGGGGCATTGGAGAGGGTCCTAGGTCAAAAAGTTGCCAAGTTTAGCAGTCTTAAGCCTTGTGTCAAATCTCTGGTGCCTAGGCCTCCATTCCTCTGCTGATGGGAGAAGGACATTGTAACTTCCAATCTAAACCCAAGAGATTCATGCAACTGACTATATTTTGCTTTTATTTATGTTATAGACACACATTATATGGCTTCTGAGGAAAAGCAGTGATGAAGATAGTCTAAGATATTTATATTTGTCTTTGAGAGTCATTTTTTTTCTTCAACAACAGATTTAGCTGTTAACTATATTTTACTTGTGCTGATATTGAGATAAAGTTGCTTTTTCTATACACTGGAGCTTAGGGAGTAAATAAGAGGAAGAATAGGACTAGTGAATATTCCATAGGAGGCTGATAATGGAGGACTATTTCAAAGCGGATTTGGAGAAAGATTATAGATTTCCAAGAAGTTGCTATATTTTGTGCTTTTTTTTTTTTTAAAGATTCTCATTCAAATGAGAATAAAAAGAAATGTGGAACTGTGGTTCAGTTTGATCTCTTGTGCTCTAATGACAATAGTTAACTTAAAATATAAAAATAATGTCTTGTTTTTTCCTCTTAGCCTACAAGGGATGATAGAGGATGGTTTATCAGTCCCATTGGCCCTAATCCCTGGTGGACTGTGATAGCTGCCATTATCCCAGCTCTTCTCTGCACTATCTTGATATTCATGGACCAGCAGATCACAGCTGTCATCATTAACAGGAAGGAACATAAGCTCAAGGTAACAAGAAATTTTGACCTAGAAGACTTCTTTGGTGGCTTGCTACGTTTTTTATTTTAGGGTAAGCCCTTCCATACCAGGAACTGAATAACCTGGATAAAAAGTCACAGAAGGGGCCTATAAGGAGTATTCATTCTCTACTTGTTAGTTGGAGATGAGACTAAAGTGAAACGTTGTGGTATAATGTGAAAGAAACTTGGATTCCATTTCTCTTCTCTCAGACCTGTGGGTTTGTGGCAGACAGAGTTCCTGGTGGTCCCTATTCAGCTACTTGTTTTGAGTTGGCTACCATTCAGCTTGTCTTCCTCAGGTTCAGGCTGGATCTTAGACTGCAATGTCCTAGAGGCAGTATTCTCTCATATTAAACCTGAGACCAAGGTTTACCAGGTACTAGGAACAGTTCTAGTACATGTATTAGTGGGATGTTTCATACCTTCCATCTCTATGCTTTCCTTACTCAGAACAGGCAACATCCAAATCTGGCAAGGATCTGGAAGTGTGTTGTAGGAATTAACATTTATCTCCAACTTCTATAGTGTCTACTAGAATGGTCAAGATGCAGCTTGGTCTCTAGTTATTTTTCCAGAGAAGGATGGATTTTTGAATGTGTGGGACTCAGAGGAAGCTGAGGTTACTGAATGGATATTGACATATAGGATAGGCTAATATTTCCCTTCTCTGTTCTCTCCTAACTAGGAAGATTGTAAAACTCCTCTGGGATCCTTGGATTCCTTCCTCCTTACCCATATATCCCTTCCTGCCTTAGGCATGAGACTCTTAGCTCACTGTTATATGCCCCACTATAGCCAGCCCACTGATGGTGATAGATATTCTGTTTCTCCACAGAAAGGCTGCGGCTACCACCTGGATCTGCTGATGGTGGCCATAATGCTGGGTGTCTGCTCCATCATGGGCCTACCCTGGTTTGTGGCTGCAACTGTCCTGTCCATCACACATGTGAACAGCCTCAAGCTGGAATCTGAGTGCTCTGCTCCGGGAGAACAGCCCAAGTTCTTGGGCATCCGAGAACAGAGAGTGACAGGCCTTATGATCTTTGTGCTGATGGGCTGCTCCGTCTTCATGACCACTGTCTTAAAGGTAATCATTTACTCACTTGTTAGGCATATACATAGTGCCTTTGTGCCAGGAATCCTGCTAGGTTCTGGGAATACAGTGGCACACCAAACAGATACACATACAAACTACTGTTGCCCTGGAAAAGCTTATTCTACCTGAGTAAGATAATGTGTAATTAAGAAAATAAACATGATAATTATAGAATTTAATAAGTGATATAAGGAAATATATAGAGTTCTTTGATGCTATAGGGAATTAAAAGGTTCTCTTTTAGTTAGGATAGTCAAAGACAGCCTCTCTGAGAAGATAATTTTTTTAAAAAAACTTTATTTATTTATTATTTTTATGTGGTGCTGAGGATTGAACCCAGTGCCTCACACTTGCTAATCAAGCACTCTACCACTGAGCTACAACTCCAACCCCTGAGAAGGTAATATTTAAAATAAAATGGAGCTAGCCTTGCCATGAATGGTGGAAGATAGCATGGAGGGAGGGGAGAAAAGCAGTCAAGTTAGGTCCTGAGAAAGAAAAGAGTAATATGTGTTGCGGAAAATATCAGGGTCATGTGGCTTAAGGGTACTGAGTTACAGCAAGAGCTCAGTGGGATGAGATGGAAGAGTAGACAGAGCCAGATCTCAGAGGGCCTTGTTCATACTAGTAAAGATTACTTTTGAGGGCTTTTAACAGGAGATAGATGTGACTCACTTAATATTTTTAAAAGATCATTCTGGCTGATGTCTAGAAGACAAGTTTTTAGGGTAGGGGAAGAAGAGAAGCAGAGAGACAAGTGAGAATAATACAGGTGAGGGAAGAAATTGATTTTTGATAAGAAAGTTGGTAGTAGGGATAAGAAAAAAGGCAAGGCTCTGCACATCTTAGATGCAGATCCAAAGGTCTTGCTGATTAACTGGTTGTGGAATGGAGTGAGGGAAATGGGAAAATCAAAGATGACTATTAGGTTTTTGACTTAGCCATCTAGTGGAAAGATGACATTTATTATGGAGAAGATAGCATTTTGATTTTGTGAGGAGTGAGGCTATGATCAGCACTTGAGTAAGAAATCAGGAATTATCTAAGTGAAGAGAGTAGAGGAGGGTTTTGGGTTAGTAATACAAACTTGGGAGCCAGTAGCACCTGGTTGGGTTGAACCAAAGAAGTAAATGAGCTCACTTGGGAGATGGGTGGATATAAAAGAGAAGAGAGGTTAGACAGAAGAGCAGAGTTTAGAGGATGGGCTGAGAAAGAGATAGCACAGTCTCAGAAGGAGCTGCCAGAGAGGTAGGAAGGAAAACAGGAAGGTGTGATGTCAGGAGCCAAGCTGGGAGAGTGTTTCAAGGAAGGATTGGTTAGAAGCTGTCTGGAAAGATGAAGACTACGCCAAAGCCATTGGATTTAACAATATGGTGACTTAACATGACTAGACAAGAACAGATTCAGTGGATTAGTTTCTTCTGCTTTTACATAATTTAGAAGTAGAAGCAAAAGCAGAAGCTGACTACGGTAAAAGTCTTTTTGTTCTAAAATGGAATGATCACCTGTAAGTTAAATCATAGGCCTCACATCTCAACCCTGTCTGGCTCTTCCTTTTCCCTGAGGATAGATAGATGGGGACACACACACACACACACACACACACACCTCTTCTACAGAATTAATGCTTTTTAAATCTTCTGTAATCAAAATTATCTCCTCAGAGATTTGATGTATTTTGACATGGACTTTAAAACAAAATTTTCTTTTACTGGCCAGAAACTTGTGGGCAAGAGTTGGGGGAGGTATCTTATCAGAGAGCAAACTTTGTGGAATGATAAGGCAGAAGCCTAATTGCAGGTTTCTGAAGAGTGAAAAAGAGATGAAGGAAGTAGAGTATGGATGCAGACAACTCTTTCAAGAGGTTGTTTGTGAAGTGAAACAGAAAAACAGCAGCTGGCTAAAAGAGGGTGTTTTTATAAAGGTGAAAGATGAGAAAAAACTTTATGGTGGGGGGCGGGGTATAAGCACTGCATCTGGGAAAGTGGAATGAAAGAAAAAGCTATCTAGCTATGTTGCCAAGGTCCCAACCATCTGGAGCACTTTCCTGATTCTATTCTCCCTCTTTTTGATTTTTAACCACCCCAGCCTACCCTGCAAATGCCCTTCAAGGGTGAGAATTGAGAGAATGATGAAGTATTTTGAAACCATCTTCGTGTCCCTTTCCTTTCCACTCAACTTCACTACCTGCTTTTCCTCATACTCCTTATCCGTCTACTCTCTGTCTATAGCGCTCTTTTCACTTCCTCTCCTGATCTAGGTGCCATTATTAGGGACCCCAAAGTTACTGTTCCCCCAAGAATATAACCACAAGGGCCTAGTGGTAGATATCACCAAAAAAATTCTTTTAGGATCCTATCAAATAGCTCTACAAACAAGGTCATCGCTGAATTGGGTTGTCTACAAAAGGGGAACGATGTGAAACCCAATGTGGATTTTCTAATACTGAAGAATTACATTTGAGATTGTTCTTTGGAATGTTTTTGGAATGCTCCCAAAATAATAACAAACTGAATTTAGTCTTCAGGGATGAAAGTTTTCTTACCTTGATTCTATAAGTCCCATTCTCTTGTCCCAGAGTTTCTCAGAAGATTATCTAGGTTGATAGATATGATGTGATGGGAAATTCATATTCAAGGACCATGTGGATATTCAAGTACAAAATAAAAACATTAATATGTTCCCCCAAATCATTCTTTCTGATAAGATATCTCCCCATTCATGCCCTCAAATCTCTGTTCAGTAAAAGATAAACTTTTTTAGTCTATGTCAGAGTACACCAAATGCTTTTGCTTCTACTTCAAAATTATGTAAACACAACAGAAACTAACACAATGTTTATGAAGGCATTTTGTGATTTTGTTTTGTTCTTGGAGATTTAAAAGTTACATATCCTTGAACATGCTATGATACCAAACTTAATTCTGGCCCTTCTGCCCTTTTGTCTGCAGTTTATTCCAATGCCTGTACTCTATGGAGTTTTTCTCTACATGGGAGTTTCTTCACTACAAGGAATTCAGGTATTGTATAGTTCAGCCAGGCCAGTGTCCTCTCACTGAGTTCACCTGTCCTCACCAGGGAGGGGCAGCTCCCAAAGGGAAGCACAATTCTTGAGAAATTATTTCCTAGTTTTTCTGGTTGAGCTGTTTCAGAAATTTGTTCAGATGTACAGTCATATAGGCACAAAAGTTCACAGACTTCCAGAGTAGCCTGGCTTAATATCATGGTTCCAGTCATTCATTCACTGATTATTCAAAATTTAGCACATATTAAACACAAAATGCTTTGCCAAATGCTGATAAAACAAGACCTGAAATGTTGGTCAAGAACCAGACTGGTTTCCACACCTGTACAGCTTGAAATTTAGTGTCAGGTTAAAGTGTAAGAGAAGAAAGTTCAACTTTGAGAAGTAATAGGAGTTGCCCCAGGTAAGCAAATGCACTTTCTGTTATACTGTATCTTCTCCCATCTATCAACTCATTCCTCCAAGACTTTCAAACAGAGACAATTGAGAGCCATCATCAATAACTTGATGTAATAACTCAACTTTTTCTCTGGGTGGCCAATTCTTCTTGTATGGAATGTCTTGTGGTCATTCTTACATACTGAGTTCTAATGTGACTTTGGGCAGGTTGCTTAATCTCTGGGTCTCTGTTTTCCTTTTTTATACTATAAGAATGATCATATTTTCTATATCCAGAATGTTAATGAGGTTTCATTTTAAATAATAAACAAATAGCTCCTAACTTCACAAAGAACAAGTAAGAGATTTGGTTTAATAGTAAGCCAAAAGATGCAATTCACTTATTTTCTACTTTCCCTGAGAAAGAACTCTCTTAGGAGCCTCAGTGTGGCATAGGAGAAAAAAAGTTTGAACCTAGAATTAGAAAAGATTGAGTCAAAACTCAACTGAAATTTCCCAGTTTTGACCATATTTCCTGTTCTCTTGAGATTTAAGTTTCCATTTCTGTAAAAGTACCTGTAATATAAAATTCTGCATTTTAAGTGTCCCGTGGAGATGGTGTTACTTACTTTTCAGAGCAGGAGATATAAGAGACATGAATGGGTCTAACACAGCTTCTGACCCAGCGAAGCCTCCTGAAAATAAATGCCAGTTCCCTCCTTTCAGTTCTTTGATCGTCTGAAGCTCTTTGGGATGCCCGCAAAGCACCAGCCAGATTTTATTTACCTGCGTCATGTGCCACTGCGCAAAGTGCACCTCTTCACCCTCATCCAGCTGACCTGCCTCGTCCTGCTCTGGGTCATCAAGGCATCACCAGCTGCCATTGTTTTCCCAATGATGGTGAGGTTTTCTGGAATATATATTATTACTGTTATTGTTAAAGTTGTGGTAAAGTACCTATAACATAAAATTCTGCATTTTAACTCTTTCTAAGTATGCAGTTCAGTTGCATTAAGTACATTCACATTGTTATATCACCATGCATCTCCAGAACTTTTTTCATCTTGTAAAACTGAAATTCCACACCCATTCAATCCTGCCTCCCATTATCTCCTTCCTACCAACCCCTAGGAAAACACAATTCTACTTTCTGTCTTTATGAATTTTATTATTCTAGGTAATTCATGTAAGTGGACTCATATATAGTATTTTTTCTTTTGTGACTGGCCTATTTCACTTAATATCTTCAGGGTTCATCCATGTTGTAGCATGTGTCACAATTTCCTTTCTTTCTAAGGTTGGATAATATTCCATTGTATATCTAAATCACCTAAATCACATTTTGTTTTTCTATTCATTTGTCAGTGGGCACCTTGTTTGTTTCCACCTTTTGAATATTGCTATTGTGAATAATGTTGCTACAAACTTGGGTATACAAATTTCTGTTTGTGTAACTGCTTTCAGTTTTTGGGGAGGAATACAGCTAGGAATGGAATTGCTGAACCATATGGTAATTCCATTTTTAATTTTTTTTATCTAAACTTCTAGATCAATATCCTCCTGGTTTCTTTCTTTTTTCAGTTTTGTCAGAATACATGTAGAGCTCTGCATTTGTGTATTATGTTCAGGGATTAAGTGTTTAGTTAAAAACATATCAAATTCCTGGGAACATCTGGAAGGAATCCTATCAATTTTAAATTTATTTAAAATGTAGTCATTAAAATTAGAAATATGGGGCTGGGGTTGGAGCTCAGTGGCACAGTGCTAGCCTAGTATGTGTGAGACACTGGGTTTGATCCTCAGCACCACATAAAAATGAAATAAAGTTATTGTGTGTTCACCTACAACTAAAAAATAAATATTTTTAAAAATAAATAAATAAAATTAGAAATATGATAGAATTTAATGAGCCAAATTTGCCTCATTCCTCATCCTACCAAGAGATATAATTGATGAAAACCCAAGGGACCCAGGTACATCCTTATGGGTTATGTGGCCTTCTTGAAAAGAAAGTGGAGCAGTAGTTGAGATACCCTGGACTTGCCTCTGTTGGAGAGATTAGCTGCCAGATTCTAGCCAAGACACTTCCTCTTTCTGGGCTTCAGTTTCCTCACCTATAAAGTGAACATCAGCCTAGGCCAAAGGGCAGAGATAAAAACCCTACAGATACACAATGCAGGCATAGAGCAAGGATTTTGGATAGAAATGTACAAAGGATTAGAGGGAATAAAGATGGTCTTCCAAGGTCCCATCATCCCTGATGAGGCAGGCTTATTCTGAGTGCAGCTGGCCTACTTTGATCCAGCCCTGCAGAGGTTCTCCACTCCCATGCTGCCCTGTAGCCCTTCCTGATGACTGCAAACTAGGGGAAGGCAGTTGTCAGGGCCATCTGCAGATGATAGGTTTGTTTTTTCAGTGAGGAAATTAAATTAGTTTCTCTGTAATTTGTGGGGTTGTTGTAGTGATGGTTAAAATATTCCAGTACCTGGTACAAAGAACACATTCAAAATATGGCAACTATTGTGATTATTAAAAATTGGATTTTTCTTGAAATGTTCTCCTAATTGGCTATGAAAATGAGACTTTACTTTTCATTCCAGGAAGAAAATTGGCCCCTTTAACTCACTTCCTTTATTTTTCTTCAGGTTTTGGCCTTGGTCTTTGTCAGGAAAGTCATGGATCTCTGCTTCTCTAAGCGAGAGCTGAGCTGGTTAGATGATCTCATGCCTGAAAGCAAAAAGAAGAAGTTGGATGATGCCAAAAAGAAGGCCAAGGAGGAAGAGGTCACAGTCCTTGTACCAGCTTTGGGGCCTCAAGTTACAGAACATAGGAAAGGGCACATGAAAAGTCAGCATGTCTGGAATCCCAGGGGTTATATTTAGGAGCTGGGAAGATTACCCCATAATGTTCTCATCTGAGAGTGGATTCAGGATTCATGTTCTTGTCTGCCCTTCATTTTTGGATTTAATAATCAGTAGTTTTTCCCTTTGTTTTCTAGAGTCTATCCACCAGGCTACCATCTAGAATATGAACATAGAATCTGTTATTATCAGATCTGATGGCTCATGTTCTTCCCAAAGACCTAATTAACAAGTATATTTTCAGAGAGTATTTGTTATGTACCCCATTGCTGACAGTATTGTGGTTGGCACAATGCAGAGATAACTTGCATAGGACTTTGTGTCCTTCATTTCCCTTAGCACTTAGCATCTTGTCTTCTATACAGTGGAACTTCAATAATTGGCTTACACGTGCAAAGAAAGGATGTACAGCAAAATGAAAATACCAGACCAAGAGATGAATGCACTTGGAAGTGATTCCAAATACAGTTAGGGCCCCAGATAGTATTCTTTAAATATATTTCAACGTGCATTTTTTCTAATATCTTGAATTTTTAAGACCTTGTATAATTAAATAAGCTTTAGAAATTTTAAAAACAAAAGCAATGGAAGAAAACTTTAAATGGAATATTGACAGAATTTACTACCTTAAATGTGAAGCTTTCAGGTATCCAAAATTCTATAAACAAAATTTTTAAATAATGTTAAGACATTTGTCAAAATCCTTTCTATTCAAATAATTATCTCTAATAAAACAATAATAGAATGAAAATGAGCAGTGGACATAGATAATTTACAAAAGAAGAATACAAATGACTAATTACTTCATGACTGAGTTCATTCTCACAAATAAGCAAAGAAATGGAAATTTCAAATACATTTTTTACTTAACAAAGATTTTGAAAAAAAAATGTTGGTAACACTATTATTAAAATGGGTTTCTCCTACAATAAAAGTAGTAGTAGTATAAATTGGATATATCTCTTTTAGAGGGCAGCTTAAAGGAGAGTCTTAAAAATGTATAAGCCCAAACCAAGCACAGTGATATATACCTGTAGTCCCAGCACTTGGAGACTGAGATGGGAAGATTGCTTCAGCCCAGAGCCCAGGAATTTGAGACCAGCCTATTTGAGACCCTATATCCAAAAAAAAGTGAAAAAGTATATGCTTTTTAGCCCAGTAACTCCTAATTTTAAAATTTATCCTTAAGGATATGTAGACAATGTTGACAAAAGATTTTAATTATGTCTACAAGAAAGAAAATTTAGAGTCTAGCCTAAGGCTAGCCTCAAACTTGGGAACCTCCTACCTTAGCCCCCCATAGCTGGGATTACAGGCAGGTGTCACTGCACCTGGCTAAATTAAAGAAAACACTTTATTATGGGAGATTTTAAACATTAGAAAGAAAAGTCAATATTCATATTTTCCCAATTACCTTATTATTTTTTAACAATGTTTATTTGAATCAGGATCTAAAGAAGATTGCTATATTTCAATTGATATCTTTCTTAAATTTTTTTAGGGGTTTCCTTTCCAGTTTTTTCTTTTTATTGACAAACTGGGTCCCTATAAGCTTTCCCATGATGCAGATTTTGCCAAATGTCTTCTTTGGTGTCATTTAACATCATCTTATATCCATGGTGTTTCCAGTCAAATTGGTCATTGAATCTAGAAGCTTACTCAGATTCAGATATTTTGTTTTGTTTTTTCCCAATACTATTCCATGTGTAGTAATATCAGATTGTCTCTTTTTGCAGTGACTCAAACCTATAAAAGACTTAATTATATTTTATAATGAATGTGAGAGAAAAATAAAAATTATGATAGTAGAAGAATGAGTGGTGAAAAAATTCATGATCTTACTTTGTCGAAGATATAATAATATCTCTTTTTTTTCCCCCAGGAGGCTGAGAAAATGTTAGAAATTGGGGGAGAAAAGTTTCCTCTCGAAAGCAGGAAGTTACTAAGTAGTCCTGCAAAGAACAACAGTTTCAGGTAAAGCTCCCCAAACACAAAGGAATTTACTATTTGGGATATTCTGTAAACATTCTGACTTCGAAGTAGGGTGTTATCAAAATGCAGCTGCTGGTGTATAGAGCTAAACATCCAGTCTCCCAGGTTCATCCTATGAAAATACCTTTTCCTTTTCTTTGTGGACTGAATACATACTCTGTGCCCAGCACTGTACTAGGTGAAGAGGCGGGCAGTGTCCCTAGTGCCTTCCTCCATAATACAACTGTGCAGGAAGGTTTCCTTATATGTTCTCTGTTAGTCTTTACAACCATTCTCTGAGAAGGTCTCATTTATCTACTTCTGTACTTGTGAGAAAACTGAGGATTATAGGAGTTTAGGTAATTTGCCCAAAGTTACAGTGCTACTGAGTAGAAAGATCAATTTTCAAACCTGGTCTGTCTATTCCTCAAATCAGTACTCCTTATGCTTTTCTTTGTTACCTTCCAAAGATGAATAGGATGTGTTTTTTTTTATTTCTAGAGAGTTCTCAGCCTGGTGTGCATGACTTTCCTACGCTTAGGCCTGCCTTTGGGTTGGAATAGTCCATTCCAACCTGGCTCATGGCATCTATAGTTCAGGGACCCAGGGGGAACAAGCTGGGATCTTAAAAATGCCTTAGTTCTGCCACTGATTTTATTCCTTTCTCTACCAAACCTATTGGTCTCCACAAATTACAAGAAGCTAAATTGGTCCATGTGTGGTTTTGCTCCCGTCATCTTGTTTCTGTTTTGAAAGGGGCACACACAGCGTGAAGGAGCTTAGAGGTCGAGAGGGGCAGAGAAGAAAGAAAGAAAGGGCATCTGGGGCATCTGGATCTGGGGAAATTGACTGCTGAATCATTGGGTTCGTTGTGGTTTACACTGTGAGGTAAATTAGGAAAGTCTTTGGTTCCTAATAAATTTTCTATAAGTTATTATAGAAGAAGCCGTAGACTTTGAATTCTCTGTTTCTTCTCAAGTGGGATGCTGTCTTCACTCTTGGCATTTTAAGAGACCTCCTGGTGTATAGAAGACTTTAGAGTACTCTTGGGCTCTAGAGGACCAAAGACTGGGTTTAGAGTCTTGATTCCACTTATTGTCATAAGTGGACAAGCACTTAGCCCTATGATCTTTGGTCTCTGCACCTTCAAATGAGAATGTTATTAATCTCTGTTGCTATGATAGTTAATATGGTGAGAAAGTTCTTTGTTAACTATCAATGGACAAGATTTAGCCATGTAAATAAGAAAATGAATGAAGAGTGCCTGGAACCCAGCAAGCAAATAGTAGTTCCTGATTCTGTGCTCTTGGCATCATAACATGGTCAGCATTTCCAGTGAGGTCTTTCAGAGGACTAGCCATCACTTGGGACAAAAGCTCAGCCTGCAGAATCATCTCATAGGCAGCCTACCTTTTTCTGTTCTGACCTCAGTGGCTGCAGGAGGAATGACCAGAGCTACTGAGAACTGTTAGCTAGTCTTCCAGTCTTTTCACTTCTAGTGGAGTGGCAATCATTATAAAGTAAGATATGTTTTTATCCATATGTTTGACATTCACTGTACCAAGCATTGATTTCAGATGTGACCCCTCTGAGATTAATATATCTGATGAAATGCCTAAAACCACGGTCTGGAAAGCTCTCAGTATGAATTCTGGAACCACAAAGGAAAAAAGGTAAAGAGATCTATAATTAAGGTTTTTATTTATTTTTGGCTTTTGGAAATGGTAATAATGCTAAAGGTAAAATATATATAGTTGTAAGATTGAATTTGTCTAATAAATAGCATGTCTAGGACTGTTGCTAACTCTACAAGAATAGATTTAAGCATAAGAAAAAATTAAGTAAAAATGGTTTCTAAATATTTGAAGAGAGGCTGTTTTGAGCTGTCCTTTTATATAGGTCCAGTCGGGGTTAAATTATTTAAGATGTAAATTTGCTTTATCTGTTTTGTAACTTAATCCTCTTCTTAGTTCTCATTTCAAATTCTAAAGGATATCTCTCCTGTTACCTAACCACACAAACTGGAAAATTGCTACAGGTCTATATTAGTACTGTTAATACAAACAAATAGGATTTATAACAGACTTGAACCTATTTAACTTGTTCCATAATGAGAATTATTGCCATGAACAGATTTTGAAATGTTAAATTATAACTGTTTTCTTATTTTGCATTAAAGTATGTTCTGTATATCATTTGCTAATACCATAGCTCAGTTTTAATCAGGTTAATGAAGAAAATGAAAGGACTTAAGACATCTTTGCCTACATTGAGGTAGGCTGCACATCCAAATTGCTTAAATAATTTAGTCCAAACACCATTTAAGTTTATATAGATAACTGAAGGGCAAAATCTAAGTCCTTATTAAAGATACCTTTTCTAGTTAAAAAAAAAAAAAAAAGCCTAGGAAACCTGGTCCTGCTCTTAACCCTGCTGTGCAATTTGGCCCATCCCTGTTTCTGGTACTCAGTTTACTTAGCAGGAAAATGGACATAATGATAAGTTTGCTCTGAGGAGAAACTGAAGTGCTTTGAAAAGTCACAGCCACCAGTGGGTGGTAGTGGTGGGTTTTTCAATCTTCGAATGGGTTAAAATAAATCTGTGCTGAATGTGAGTGAAATATAGAATCTTATTTCCTTCAGAGGAAAATCCAGGCAGCTGTCGAACTGTATAACGCACACAGTTATTTTTAGTTGAGAACTAGTCTACTTGTAAATGAACTTAAAATATAGCCAGATCCAAATTGTGGTGACATCTTCAAAGTATTGTGTTAAAAGCAGGAATGAATCATGTGTTCCCTTTTTGTCTCATTGTAACACTTTTATTCAGTCTCTTCAACTAAGAGTCTTTGCTGGGATAGAAGATTTGGGCCATGAGGTGCCTCAGGGAAGTTCTGGTTACAGAGAAAATGGTGAGTCCCTCAGAGAAGAAGCAAGACCAAGTCTGGCCCTATCCTTGGTCATCTCAAAGCCATGCTGAAGCATTCAGTTATTCTTGGTGTGCATTGGAGGCCATCCAGCCATCCCCATACCAGCAGCCAGTCACCAGATGTGAACGTGGAAGCAGAAGGCCACCTCCTGTTGGTAGTCCTCTTTCTTCTTTCTCTTCAGAACTGCCACCATTAAAGACCCAGCTTCTCATTTTTCAGACATTTTCTCTGAAACTCTCTGCTGGCCTGCTGAGCCACGTGGATCCATTCTGCCATTGAGGAGTTGTGCATTGAGGTCCCTCTTCCTAAAGGATGAGGTGGGGGAGTAGCAGGAGAACAGAGAGAAAGGGGAAACTTCCTTAGTCATGTTGGTATCTGCAGGCTCCTAGGAAGCCCTGGGCCTTAGTTTGATTGCGTACCCTGGGTGGGGGGGATGCTGGTCATACCCAGTCAAGAGGTCTGCTACTAGGACGGTCAGCGCCCTAGATATTGGCAGTACTCACCACTTCAGTCAGGAAGACATTTCTGTCCTGGGGGGGGGATCAACTCAGTGAGACCCTTGGAAGATACAAAAGCCAAGGGGGGATATTAGAGTTGCTTAGCTTATTTAGGGGAAAATCAGTAATGACAAGTAAGAATGAGAATCTTCTCTTGGTTTTCATTGAGGATAGAGTAAGAGAATGAGTTGAATTGCTACGAAAGAAATTAGTGTAGATGCCGGGAAGGACTTCCAATTCTGAAGATTGGTCAGTGTCTCCCTTCTAGATATCTAGGAAAGATTTGATAACAGTTGTTTGTGAGTAGAAAAGGAGGTATGATGTTTTTATTGGCCATTTTGTGATACTATTTGACATCTTTTCAGGATACATTCTGATTCCATCCTGGAGAGATCCAAGTGCTTTTGTACTGTCTTCTTAGCTGCCTTAGTAGTGAACCATCATCAGCTCAATGGACAAAATCCACCTTCAGCCACGTGGTTTCTTCATCCATGGGTATCTTTCAGTTGACAAAAAGTTATGACTCTCAGACATAAAAAGCTACACTGGGAAATGAACTGTAAATGAAGTTAGTTTTAGAATGTAGTTTAAACTACTTTTGCATTTTTTCTCTTCTTTGTTGCAATGAATGTCAAGGGTCTAAGTGCCCGTGCATATAGACCTTCCCTGCCTTTGTGCACAGAATGTGACCAGCCAGCCCATTAGCACCCAGAAAACCCAAGCCTCTCAGTTTTCCATCCTGGAAAATCTTTGTACAGTGGGAAGATCCCCTAGTGTGCTGTCCTTTTATAGGTGAGGAGTTGGCTGCATCACTTTGTTGAATGTTGCATTCTTTACACTCAAAATATATTAAGGTATTCTAGTCTTACTGTAATGACCTTTGATTGATGTCAAAGGAACCCTGCATTTTCCCCATATTTCCCTATCTCTTAAGACCACAGTTATTTTAATGCAGAGACGATTTTCAAGATATTTAACAACTGTTACAGGACAGACACCAACCACTCGGAACAGGTACCTGCTATGAACAAACACTATGATTGCACCAGTGCCTATTGGCTGAATGTCACACTGCTTTCAAATATTAAAATGGCATCCCACTAAATTGTAGAGTTCCTAGTTTGTCTGATTTGTATTCACAAGGCTGTTCTAGGACAGCCTTGGCTTTCTTTCACGTGGTGCAGACAGGATCAGGCATGTTTCTTTAAAATATATGGGCATTAAAATCTTTGTGAGCCAAAGCTTCACATTTTATTACTTTAGGACAAATCTAATCATTGTACCCCCTTTTCCCATTTCTTACCAACTTTCCCATATCACTCTTTGGCTACTTTCTTGCATTTCTCTTTTCCATTGTTTTAGTTCCTTGAGAATGTGCACCTTTTCTTGCTCCATCTTGCCCACCCCCCCACGTCATTCAGCCACACTTTTGCATAGGAGGTTGGCAACTTCTGTTTCCCTAGCCTCAGTGCACCCATTGCACTGGGAAGAACCCATTGTGGAACAAAACCAGTGACAGTGTCATCAGAAAAATGTGTTTCCTAACACACTGATACCTTGTGTATGCTAAGTTGCCTGAGGATAAGGAGACCTGCCTTTGTTAACCCTGTGCAGTGCAGTTTCAGGATCACATGTAGGCTTTGAGTTCTCCCCAGCCAGAGTCTCCCAGATCACTATACCTTAGGAACATTAGGCACTTTGGAAGGCTGTGCCCACCCTTTTAGGTCATTAGATTTTTCTTCTCAAACAGTAGTCAGCCTCATTTCTGTTGTACCCAATGGTAGGAACCACTCCCTACTCTTACTCTCTCCACTCTCCCAGGTCTCACCACTCAGCCCCAGTCCTGGCTGCTTTAAGGGTGCTTGAAAGCTGAGATAGTAAAAGGGGGAAGAACTTGAATGATATCTTTCTTGGCTTAAGTTTGTGGTTGGTGATCATGGTAGCAATAGTCATACTGGCAGCATTTAGGGGCAAGAAACTGGGAGAGGCGGTGAAACAGCAGCAGTGTGCATGCATGTGCACATAGTGACAAACGGGACGGACTGTAGCTGCAGGTTTTCATCGCTACTCTTAAGCATTTTGTGCACCTGGCTGTTAGAACATTGAAAAAATGCGGTCATTCTCCCATCTAGGGAATTCTCATCTGAGCTTCTTTGATAAAATAGCTTAAGGACAAATACAGGCAGATTAATATATGAAGAAAGGTGTTTGAAGTTCAATAAAGGAGAAACTGATTTAGAAGTAGAAAGAAAGACAGGTTGTTAGGTGTTTCTCAGGCCCACAGTTGCTTTCATGATGAGAGGAAAATTCAAGAACGGTTGAAATTGTTGGCACACCCTGACAGGCTAGTGGTGTTGTAGGAAGGGAAGGAGGCCAGGGATTTAAGAAAATGATGGTAAGTGGAATTTGGTTCTAAGTGGGCAATTTGCTTTCTAGTCATGACTCTTAAGGAAGAGTTGGTCTACAGAGAGGGCGAAGACCAGCAGAAATGTACTGTAAAATTGCCAAATATGTTTGATTGATAAAACACAGACTGACTCTTTGTGGCTAGATATGATTTCCAACTTCTGAAGGATTGTTGAGAGATAATGGTCTTTACAACATGCAGCTCCTCTCCTCAACTCTTGCTCTTAAAAACTTGGGGGGTAGAGGGCAAGTGAACCATATTGTTCCAAAAGACAATGTGAATAGTCATTATTTCTCTTTGTCTGGGTTGTGACTGGCTTGTAAGTTAGTTATTAGTGTTTGATAAAAATCTGGCATATGCTAAGAATTCAGCTTGGTTGCTAGCTCAGGTTATGAGAGCTGTGACCTTCAAGAGGTCTCTAGTGTTGGGGAATCTGTGGTTTCTGGTCATCCAAAAAGGACAGTTTCTAATTCTACTTTATTTTCTGCCTACTCAACTCTCCACACTTCCCTCTTAGTAGAGGAATCAATAATCTTCCCTGCATCTGCTCTGTTGATTTTGTTATCCATGTTCTGTATCTCAAGTTTTCCTGAAGCATAGGAACAGGTTTGATGCCAGAACCCCCTTTTTTAAAAAATCAGAATCAGAAACACTACCCACTTTGCTCTCTCTGCCACTTTATCAAAGTCTCTGAAGTTCTTTTGCAAGAGAGACAGCTCCTCCTCCTAGGACTTTTAAACAATCATTTTTGCAAGTTTGTCACTACATTTTTCCTCACATTTCTCAGGTTCCTAAGCTACATCCTAGCAGGCCAACCAGGAACCCTGCATTGAATGTTCCCAGCTTTCTTGACTTTTTTCTGGTGGTAGCCTTTGGGCCTCCTTTGAGCAGGCCCTGGCTAGCCAAGAAAGATGTCATTCAAGTTCTTCCCCCTTTTACTGTCTCAGCTTTCAAGCACCCTTAACTCTTCCTCCTACCTTTTCCTCAGTATTTCAAGTTCTCTTGGGAGGGAAGAAGTTCTTGATCAAAAGTCCCAAAACCACTACCAGTTTGGGGTAGATAGAGGAATAAGGAGGTCAATCAGTGCTGGGCTTCTTGGAAAGGGGACTGTATGGTTATGTTCTTATTTTTGGTGAGGGACTGAGGACTTTCAAGCCCTCAGGCTCATCCATATTTTAGTGTAAAAAGAAAAAAACATTCCAAAGCCAAGTAGAAGTGATTTTTCTACTAAATCTATTCTTTATGACTCTTGTTGTCCCTGGTCTCCTAACATTAATTATAGAGAATGGGTGGTTGACTCAGTTACATTTTTTTTTTGTCAGAAAGGAAGGTAATTTTCATAACCAAAAGAAGTGTGAAGTAACTATATCACTGCTTGAAGTGTGAAAAGAGGAAAGGAGTGTTACGTGAACCTTTCCAGTAGAAAATTCAGGAAGTTGAATGATTCATCCATAGGCATAATTCTTTTAGAAGATTCTGTGCTCAAAGGGAATGGAATGGTTTCTGACCCTTCTGAAGAGATAAAGAATAACATTTTTTCTTAAATTTAACCCACTTTCAGCATGGGGAATACAGAACTTTTTCTTCTAGCTGATGACATTAATATTTCTTGAGAAGAGGGAGAACCCACCCACGGCACATTTCTGAGCCCAGCAGAAATCAGCAAGCTTGGGCTTCTCTTAGCAGGTTTGCGGATGACTTCAACATGCAGGTTTTTCACATGTGCAATAACGCTGGAAACAGAAGCACCAAACTGAATGTGCAATTACTCCTTTTGTATAAGAAGCCAAAATCCTCCTCTTCCCCTTCTCCCATATTCATTCCTCTGGGATAATAAGTCTCCCTCTTGTTTCTCTGTGTCTGTCTGTCTGATTGATTAGAAACGGCTGCCCTTCCAAGCTAAATAGGGTCGGGTGGAGAGTAGAGCAACCTTCCCTTGCAAGGGGACAACTTGAGGTGCTGGTACATTTCTCTTGTTTTCTATGTTGTTCTTTCTAGTAGGTCCCATGTAGAGATAGAGCTATTTTTGTTTTAGAGATTCCAAAGTATATATTTTTAGTGTAAGAAATGTACCCTCTCCACACTCCATGGTGTAAATAGAACTGGGAATAAATGTGTCATTGTGATAATCCCATAGCAATTTGTGGTAGGAACAAGACTCCTTTTCCAATCTGTGTCTGTGACCTAGGGCAGGTAATTGTGACACTGCATCTCCTAGACCTCTGCCTGCCCAGGCTTGTGTATACTCACCTCAACGGTGAAAATAAAATCTGTAGAAACTGTGTACCTGTAGTGTTCTTTGAGCCTGAATCAAGGGGCTGAGCCACTGTTGAGCAATTGCAGAACTTGTGAAGAATTATGAAGATGGGTGAAACAAAGGTGTGGTGGTATTGCTGAGATGCTTTGAGAGGATATATGCCTCCTCTGTGCAGGTTCTGACTAGTCCTTGGGGCAGAGCCATGAAGGAGGCCATCCGGGCCTTTTCCTAGGGAGCTGCTCAGGCAGAGGCAATCAGGACAGTAGAAAAAGAAAGCCAATTATGAAGATAAAACCAGGCCATTGAGAGCAATTGCTAATATTTAGAAACTGTCCACTGTCCTGAAACTTAGATTTTAAAATCTGCTGTCACCTGGGTTGTTTTTGTGAGTGTTGTTTCTTCTTTTCTCTCAAATCCCATTGCTATAGGGTTGGCGAAAAGGGGATGAGGGAAGCAATGGAGGAAGAGCAGATAGACCAGTGAGGGAGTGACAAGATAGATGGTCGGGGAGCCAGTCAGGAGGCTTCATTGATTGACAAGAAAGGCATCACCTTATTTATTTGTTTATACATATGAGGGATTGAGCCCAGGGGCTCTCAACCACTGAGCCACATCCCCAGCCCTTTTTAATATTTTATTTAGAGACAGGATCTCACTGAGTTGCTCAGGGCCTTGCTGAGGCTGGCTTTGAACTGGTGATCCTCTTGCCTCAGCCTCCCTAGCCACAGGCTTACGCCACTGCACCCAGCCACTGAAAGCCTCTGTCAAAGAGGGTGAGGTGAGCATTTTATGAAGTGAGAGCAGTACAAGCTGGGCCTGTAGTCTGTAGACACAGAACTCCCTGGTTGTGAGGGCTTTTGCTGTCTTTTGGCTGTTTTTAAAATGCCTCAGGAGCATATACATCATGCCCTTTGCCTCACAAAGAGACATGCTTTAATTTCACTGTGTGGCATGTAGCATGTGAGAAGGCTACTATTAGAGGAAACAGCCAGTTCTGATGGCTCAGGCTGTGGCCTGGTGGGGGTGCTGGTGCAGAAAGACGGCCCTTATCATCTAGCAACATCAGGGTTGTTAAGGATTCCGTAGTACATGAAAAGGGCTTAGGACAGCACCTGGCTCATAGTGAGCAATAAAAAATTTCGAAGTTGGGCTGGGATTGTGGCTCAGTGGTAGAGCACTTGCCTAGCACATGTGAGGCACTGGCTTCGATCCTCAGCACCACACACAAAAAATAAAAAATAAATTTATTATGTCCATCTACAACTAAAAATATTTTTTTAAAATTTTGAAAGCACATGGCTCCTGGGTTAGTTAATTGAGCAGTAATCACATAGGGATGGAATTATGTTTGGCTCGCTTGATTAGGCTTTACCCTCTGGGACTGAGCCCATCTTTCTAGAACCATATTGCTGCCCCAGTACCTGTACAAAATCAGGATTCTGTTAGTAAGGAACAAGGCAGGAGTTATAAGTGATTCAATATTTGAAAGTGCCTGCCAGT